TTTTATAGCTTTAAATCATTAAGTATATTATATCTTTAATTATTTATATCTTTTATCTAATCTATATTTATTATCTTTTATAAAGATATTAAATCATTGTTTATTCTTTAAAACTAGTCTATCTTTCTAAATCTCCTTTTAAATTAGTTATCTTAATTATCTTATTAAGTTTAAATCTTAACTTTATAACTCTAATTTTATTAATAACCTTTTTATACTAAATCAATTAATTAGTTAATAAATCTTAAATATCTTTAATCTCTCTATAATTAGTTTTTTAAAATACAATACTTTAATAACTTCTAATCTTCTTTTTAATCTTAAATGAATTAACTCTATCTATAAGAAATACTATATTTAATATACTAATATAAATAAGATATAGTTTATTAAATAGTAATAATATATCTCTAGTATCTATCTAGAGTTATTATAATATAAAGTTAACTTTAAGATAATATATATATCATAACTATAAAAGAACTTTAATTAAATAGTTTATTATCAAACTAGTTAATTAATAATTATATATTAGAGATATAATAAGACTTTACTCTATCTATTAAAAATAAGAATCTTTAGCTTATTAAAAAAGTATTAGAATAGTTAGAGATATATAAAGATAGATATAAATATAATACTTTAATAAAATCTATAGTAATTGCTATAATTTATAATAAGATCTTTCTTATTAGTATATATAATATAAATACTAATATCTTAATCTAATTATCCTATTCTTAAGAAAATAGCCTTTAATATTAAAAACTAGAAATAGATCTAGATTAATTTACTTATAATATACTAACTTCTTTTTCAATTCTTTATTTACCCTAAGATTTATAAATTTATTTATTATATTTATCTATTAAAAGAAATACCTTCTTTTTTTATTTCTAAAACTACTTATTATTATCTAGATATATTTATATAGATAGACTAGTAAAGGATTCTATCTTCTCTTCTAATTAGAGTAAAGCTTTTAATTACATTTAATTACTAGATATCTTTCTTCTAATAAATATTTATAGTTATTACTAGCTATTTCTTAGATATAGATTAGAATTATTATAAGAATCTTCTTATTTTTAAATTAATTTATAGTAAATATATCAAGATCTATCTTAGAAAAGTTATATAGTAAATATTATACTAATATTTAATTATTAATTATATACTTATAGTTACTACTAATAATATAAAAAATAACTATATATTTATTACTATTTTATATTAATCAATTAAAGTTTTAGATCTATTAAATAGTATATCTATTATACAAATTCTATATCTTACTTATATAATTTAGCTAAACTTAAAAGATCTTCTTAATTTAATAAAAATTTTTTTTTTTAATAATATAACTATTATTGTATAATTAGAAGATAAAAATAGAGCTAGACTTTAAAAGATATAATCTTAATATAATATTATAGCCACTCTTACAAAGATATTTATTTTTAAATATTTAGACTATATAAATCTAACTATATATCTAGATTTATAGTTTTACTATATTTATTAATACTAGCCTTTAATAAAAAGAACTATTTTTAAGTCTCTAAAAGAATAATTTAAAGCTTATATTACTATAAGATATTTAAACTCGCTAGAATTCTATATATCTAATACTTTAAAAAATAAACTATCTTTTTTAGTTATTTAATTAATACTATTTAGTTTATAATAAATCTTATTTCTAATTAAATATAGTTCAATAACGTTAGGTTAAATATCTATTATCTATTATTAAGTTATTTTATATATAGACTATAAGACTTTTAAAGATTAAAGATATTACAATCTACTTAGTCTTTAATATTTATAATATACTATTTTATTATTTCAAGAAATCATAGTCTCTACTTATTTAGAAAAAAGTCTTTTAAAAGAGAATAATATTTACTATTTTAAAAATAGATAAAGATAAATTTAAAGTCTATTATTATAATACTAAAGCTATTTATAGATATATCTATACTTTGAAACCTATCTTTTCTTCTAAATATAAACTAAATTATTTTAAAAATCTAGATTAAATTAATAAAGATATTAATTAGTATAATAAATATAAGATTACTTTATAAACCAAGTTTAAATAATACTCTTAATATTAGTCTAATTTATATATTATAAATAAAAAAAAAAGCTCTATTTAAATAGAATAAACTAAAAAGTTTATTTAAATAAATATAATCTCAATCTTTATCTTAATTACAAATTAATTAATAAAAAGAGCTAAAAAGTTATTTTAATCTTTATATATATACTTAGAATCTTATAATATATTCTAATTATTAACTATATTAAGATTTAAAAAAGACGATATCTATTAATTCTAAAAAGAGTATAAAAAGGATTTTCTAACTCTTATAGTCCTAATATAAGATATTTTCTTAATCTTTATTACTAGAGTAAAAATAAAGTAAATATTTAATTTTACTTTTAATATCTATTATTATAAACGTGGATTATTAAATATAACTATAATCTAGAATATAATAATAATACTTTATATAATCTAATTTAATACTAAATAGATTAAAACCTAGAATATTATTCAAATTAAAGATATAACTAAATAGATAATAGCTAATAAGAAAAAAGAAAGTTAGCTTAATAAATATAATATAGCTAAGATTAGTGATAATAAAAAGAAAGATAAGTCTATTAAAAATAATAAACTTAAAGATATTAAATCTATTAATAATAATAAGTATAATAAAAATAATAAAAATAAGATATAGATATTTCTTACTTTACAATAGGATCTTAATATATAAGATTCTATTAATAAGGATAAAGATAATTTAATTATATTTCTATTACTAATTATTATTATATCTTAAGTCTAAATCTCTAATAGTTAGTAATCATAATAAAAAAGAAAGTACTAGTAAGATTATAATCTATATAAATATCTAAAGTAAAAGAAATAGAATATATAATAAATCATTATTAATATTTTTATTATCAAATTAATATCTAAATCTATCTTAAAGTATAATCTAAATACCCAAAAATACAAATAGTTTCTATATAACTTATACAAGTCACAAGTTTTCATAAAACTTAGCGTGTTTATAGTATTTACAGTCCCGCGATACTACTGTAGCGTGACTACGTGACGGTACTAGCCCTCTAGTACCGCCAAGAAAGTACCGCAGAGACAGAACCTGGCCCTCGGTACCGCAGCGTGACTGGTACCGCGGTACCACAGCACCAACACTTGTCCAGGCCTATATATTATGCAAGTTATAGGGTTGCTAAAAGGTGATGACTAAAAAGGCCTGCGGGCGTCCACGCTAATCAATACCTACGGGCCCTACCGTCAAGGTACGCCTGCGGGCACTAATTTTGGGCCCAAGGCCTGTCTACGGTGGGCCTTGGGTACTGCCTATGGGCATGCCTGCGGGCGATGTCGCAGTCTATACTTCAGGGTGGTCTAATAGAGGCCGTTCCTGGCTCCACGCGCCAGAGGTTTGTTGGTATGTATAGGCACATACGTACCGGAAATCCCCTGCTGGTGGGTCCGATCAGGGCGGATCATGCTCTTGCTCACTGAGCATGATCGTGGTTTCTCTTTTCCTGAAAGCTTGGGCGCCTGGGTATTGGGTGCTGCACGTGATCTGGATGCCAGATAGGTTGGTTGGCTCTCGATGGCCCATTGGTGTTTGTAGTCCCCACATGTGATTGGTGACCGTAACAATATGATGCTTTGTTGCCCCACATACCATGCTGTTGATTTCTCTTGAATAGGGAGTCTACCTAAGCCCAAGCATTTTTACATCACAATGAGCCCAAGAAGATGTATTACGCCAGCTGAAACCAATTAGAGTTTTAACTTGCTCACCTAATAGCTTTGCCAAACCTAGACCACTCGATCATGAAAATACGGGGCCAAGCTACAAATTTATGTCGGTCATCTGAGATGTGACCCCACTTCGTCCGTGGTTCCGCTACCTATGGTTCTCTATCCCATTAGGGGTTCCGAATTATTGTCTTATCAAAATCTCAGTATCTAATCAGACCACCGCAAGGTAATAACAATCGAGAATCGAGCGCCTTCAGTACGCTCAATTACAGCGACCGCTCTTTTTAAATGACGTTACTGTCCATTACAATACATGTAAAAAAGCAGGCTCAGGGGCCTGTTTGGATCTATGTGCGGTTAGGTTGATGTCGGCATATGGTTTGAGAAAGAATCTGTGAATAGTCTGGGGTAAGGCGATTTTGCAAGATAAGCTTTCCAGCAACCTTTCTACTACTGTTTGGAATCTTTATGCACATGGGACCGAAGTAGGCTTAGCCCCATGCGGAATGTGAAACTAGACTACTTTGGGGCTGGCCAGGATATACACATGACCTTGTTCTTTGATAACTCTCGTGGTGGTGCAACCCCCGGGAAATACGCTATGACCACTTTAATTGGAGATAGAGTTTACTAGGAGGTGATTGCCACAGCGAACCTTAATGACTTGTCTATATTTGACCCATCGATGAACACGTCGAACTATGGGCGGCTCTAGACAATTTTGGGCATTTTGGACAGTCCATAGGCGGACTTGGGTATGTGGATATCCTTTGGTGAGATCTAGGCTATGGTCCACGGTCTCATCCGGACACCAAAATCTAACAGCCCTGGAAGCCCCAGACCCCGGAACTCTCGAATATCTCTGATGTGTGAATACGAATTCACTCGAAGCAATTATCAGTTATATAGGGTATTGAATCACTTGTAATTAATTAATAAGGCAGACGAGTCGTTTTTCTTTTTTTGGGCCAAATAAAGACACCTTGCTCCCCATGGTAATTTTCTTTTAGCTTCAAAACCGTCACATAAGCCTATTAATCCCTGCAGGCCCTAACTTATATCTTATTTCCCCCCTGCATTACTACTAGTCTGCAGGTGAGGTCGTCACCGGGGAGCCGCACTGGCAGATCATCGAAGTTTACCTGAACTCCAGCGCGGCGCGTCAGCGTCGTAGGAAAACAAGACCATGAGACTTGGAAATTTTCTACCTGCGTCTTCCGACCGTTCACAGGATGACTCTTGGCTTAAGCGCACCTCCCACAGCGCTTTTGCGGCGCTGGTCATACTCGGCGTCACGACAGGTGTTGCCGCGGCGCCAACCAGCACCTCCGTGAGTCTTTCTGATGACCTATCCAGTAAATTGACCATGTCTATGGTTTCACCCAGCGCGCCTCCGCAGAGCGAGGTGAAGCGTTTGGTGGCCCCGGGGGCGCAAGTGATGCCCCAACTCATCCGGGGCACAAATGTCAATGCGCCCGGCCATGCTGAGAGACCTGGCTTCCATTTTAAAGGCCTTACACCCGAACAGCGACAAACCTCGTTTTCTGCGCAGCCACTGAAGTTTACGCCTAACGGCCCTTGCCCTTACGGCTACCGTCCAGTCTTCGACAGGGTGATCGGGCACCATAGTCCTATCGCAACGACCTACACGGTCAACGAGGTGAAGCAAGGTGCGATTGGTGATTGTGGCCTAGGTGCCGCGCTTGTTGCGCTGCGGTCGAACAACGAAGCTAAAGTGCAGTCTTTGTTGCGTACAATTTCCCCCAGGGAAAACCCCCCATGCTCTCCTTACAACTGTATAACGGCAAGCAATGGGAGACTGTGCGGATTAACGACCATTTACTCACGGCCGCTAGCCCGTGTAGAGGTACTAAGCCTCCTTCTTTGATGAGTTTTCAGATGACATCCTCGAGAAACGCGGTTGTGGCTTTATTCGAAAAGGGATTTGCTAAATTTGTGGACGCGCACCCCAAGCTGCGTTGGCGGGACACTAAAGATGAGGGGTACGCCGGCCTACAAAACATCGAGGCGGGAAAAGTTATGTCCGCTATCACCGGTCGTCAGTACATGTACGTTAAATCGGGCAAAGGTGGAGGTATCCATGCTATTCTAGCAGCCGCCAACTGGGTGGTGCGCTGCATGAACACGGATGTACCGTGCACTTTCAGCATTGTCAACAGTGCTACGGCGACGGCGCGCGTGGGCAACCGGATTAGCGACGTGCGCAGCAATGCCAAAACCGGTCGCAGTAATGCCAAAACTGGGTACTATTCATTCTTTGATAAGTACATAGAGCAGCGTATTACGCTGATACCAAATCACGCGTATGCAATCCGCAAGGACTTGAGCTCACACGTCCTAACTAAGGGGGGGATACGTCCAAAAATTTCTTTGTATTCCAGAATCCATGGGGCTGTAATCCAGCGGATGAAAAGGACAATGATTGTTCCGCGCCCAGTGTAACCAAAATCTCACTGGCTGCCTTTTATGATCTCTTCGAAGGTTTAAACACATTGGTATAGTGTGTTCTTGGTGTCTGCGCCTGCCGCTAGGGGTTCCTACTTCACAGAGGCAGCAAACGGCCTGCTCCACAGACAAGGTTACCGTGTTGAATTGGACCATGAAATCATGGGTTCGCTGGTTAACTGGTTAGTATTTTGGTATTGTGGCAAGAAGGAAAAAGTTCTGTCATTTATTTGAGATTGTGGGGCTTTCGCCAGATTGACACTCCTGTAACTTGTATGAAACTTTATCAAACGTTTAAATTGAACCTATTCATATATTGTTACTTTTACCTTTTTCTTTAGTATGTGATTATAGTATTTCAATATTTAACTCAAGATAGAAGGTATGTTAGCCTGGGAAAGCAATTTATAAAAATGTCTCTCTGTATATGCCATTATAGGTCGATCTTTTTGTGGGAGGTTTAAGATCGCATAAGAGGGTCTTGCGGCGAGGCTTGCTAAAATGTTTTCACATGGTATCTTGTATGCTACGAAGATGTATAGTGCCCAAGGGTCGGATGTATATTTTCATGTATGAGGATCCCTGGTTTTAGACTACTTGTTACATTGTTCTATATCAATTATTATACTTAGGGGAATAAGTAGTATAGTTTGCCAGAACTTTTGTAGAACTTGTTTCCTTGTTGATATCCTCTGCTTAGACCTTTTAAACTATATGACACAAGATAATATAAGTTTACAAATAAGCTACGAACTAAGTAGGAAAAAAAATATTATATAAAAAAATAAGAATAACTTTTTAAAAAATCTTAATAAATTAAATAAGATAATCTATATATAATATATATTATATACTTAAACTAGAGAAAATATAGTATATATAGCTTTTTAAAGTAATTATTATTAGATAAAGGTTAATTTTATTTATTAATATAGTAATTATATAATAGGACAAAAAGATATAAATATCTAGATTTCTAATATATTAAATATGTCTCCCTATAGTATTAAAAGATATAAAGTTAAAAGTCTATCTAAAGACTACTATCTATTTATTAACTATTTTTCTTAAAATATATAAAAATATTTATTCAATCTTATTAATCTATTAATCTATATTAGATAAATTATGTATAATAGTTTTATAAAAAATAACAAGTTAATAAGATATACTAATAATAAAGATTAAATAATAGTAAAGATTGAGATTATAATTAGTAAAAAGACCTTTTGTCAGGCAGGCAAAGCACAAAAGAAAAAGATCGCTTTTATGGTCCAAGAAACGACGATAATAGAACTGAGGAAGGAAAGGAGAGAGAGAGAGAGAGAGCAGCTAGCAGGATCTATGTAAATGGGGGTGCTGCCTGAGGCAGACGCATGTTGTCCCGTCTCTTCCTGTGCAGGAATCTGGTCACAAGGTCGTGGGTTCGAGTCACAGTCCTGTCACTTCCTGGCACCTTTAGATAATAAAATAATTATTTCTCTCTTAATAAAAAAGCTAATAATATTATTTATAAGATTCTTATTATTATGTTTTTATATTTTCTTTTTTTTATTATCTATAAAGTTATTAAACTCTATATTCTCTGATTTTTTTAATAATAATATTTAAAGATATAAAATCTAAAAAATAAGTATCTAATAAATTAGTTCTATTATAAATAATAGAAAAAACTTTATATAGTAAAAAACTTAATATATATTATTATACTAAATACTATAAGATTTTCTAAAATATAATCTAGAAAATCTATATCGTTTATTTTAGTTAATAAAGAAATAATAAATAATTTAGATAAAGTAAAAGAGTTAGATATTAAATAAGAAATAAAGAAATAATAAAGATAAAAGAAAAAAGAGAGAATAAGATTATATCGTTATATCCTCTTATTATATTTTGAATTTATTAATACCTTTTTATAGAAAGCATTATTTTTGGACTTTTTTATACCCCGACTTCTTTAAAGTCTTAAGATTTAAGCCTTTTAAGGGGACTTTTTTTAAGGCTCCCCAAGGCAGTAAGCCTTAGTAAATAAGAGAGGATATTGTTTCAAATGGCCACTAGGACCTAGTTTGCTTACTAAGTACGAGCGAGTCTGTATTATATAATCTAGCTAGTTTATATATGCGGCTTTGCCGAAACTAATACAAACCATCTTCGCCTTATATAATCACATGGGTATCCCTAGGGTTTCAGGAAAAGAGAAACCACAATCAAGCTCAATGAACAAGAGAGCACGATCCGCCCTAATCAGATCCACCGGCAGAGGATTTCCAGTACATATGCCAATAAAGAGCACTTTTATCTTCTACCATAAAGGTAACCCAGGCCGCTCAAATCTCTAGAGACTATACTAGACCTTAGACATACTATTAAACAATCAAGTTCACACAATCTAGACTTTAAGGTCGCTTCCAACGAAAATAAACGAGTCAAATGATTAAATATTGAAGACGAAGAGGCTAACAAAAGGTACACAGACAACTTGGAGCCATTATGTATCCAGACATTTGACAAAACCCCGATACAAACTCACATTTCATCCAATTCGAGCTCTCTTTCTTCCATCGTTGGAGTCTTGTTTCGAGGCTCTGCGTTCAGCTTAACATCATCTCGATCAGCCTTAATCTAGAAATGACAATATATTAGTGGATGCTATCTTCTGAATCCCCCTGGCGACTAGGCTCAATAGGGAGGGATGTAAATACCTCAGCTTCACTCAAAGTAGCTCGACTTTCATCCCATTTAGGCATTTGTTTTGCTATCGTTGGACCGTACGGTACCAAAGGCGATGATTCAAAATCATCAGGGAATGAGGGAGCAACGTAGATGGGAGGAGCTATATTTGTAGAACTTGATTGTAAAAATTTGTGATAGGCAACCCATGAAATGGGACTAATCTTGACAGAAAGAGGCCTGATAACTCCAGGCCGGATGACAGCACCAAAGGGCATAGTTGTTGAGGATGTAACCAGAGTGACTATAGGATATGGTAGATATGGTGATGTGTCCTAAGTCATCGATCTTGGAATTTGAAATATAAGAGAAGCGAAGATCTGCTGATCAGCTGATTTATAAGTGTCATTTAGGTCATTATGAGGTGTGTCACCCTGCGTTATCCGGCTCTATTATCCTGTAATTCAACGCCACCTCGAGTCTATTTTGCCTCGGGAGTCATTAGCATTAGTAATTCTTGTACGAACCTTAGAACCATTTGCCAAAACAATATATAAAGGGAGACGGTATCGCAACTTAATAGCGTGTAAGGGTTCAAAACTGTTTTTGATACCTGATGATACCTAAGGCCACCATATTTTGGGCTGGCAGAAATTATGATACCTGAATTACTTTTACACCTACAATAGTAAGTCATGTACCATTATTCTCCCGTAAAATTCCTACCGCGAAGCCTTTTCAGATTCAATATATGAATTTACCACAGACTGGAGTAGTTGACAGAAGATACAAATCGCGTAAATTATGCTCTTGCCACTGATTCAATGATTGACTGTCCGGTTCTTCCCTCTAAAGAATGATGTGACGCTGTGAATTCGGAGCATAGGTATTGGTACTTCCCGTCAGATTGAAATTCGTGGCCCCTTCTCATCCACTGCGGACGTCGCAAGAGCGTGTTTCTCTTATTCTATTTATTATATACATGAACCTATTAAAGATAACTTTTATTTTGGTTCTTGAGACCAGCGCCAGCAGGAGGTGGTGCTTGCCATAAGATAAAATCCTATTAAACTTCTACCTAATTTTGACTCAAACTTTATATACTTAGTCAAAGAAAGGTCTAGATCTATTGAAATAATTGACCAATGTAAGGAAAGTATTTCAATTGGCCTTTTGCCAGTGGACCAGGTATTTCTTATGGAGAGCTTTGGGCCCAGTGCAAACGTTTGCTTGGTTTCCCAAAGGATTGATGACTATTATAAAATGTCATTAATTGTTTTTAAGCCTGAAGTATCTAATTATAAATTAATCCCTCCCCCCAGAGACCATAGCGGTTCCACGAAGTCGCTGACTGAAATCTGTCCTTAAAATGCCCAAAACACAACGCACACTCAGAAAGACTTAAAAACTATTTACCATATACTACGGGAAAAGCTTATCTTACAAGCTGATCAATTTCCCCAATAACTTAACCAACAATATGCACATCCTTTACACCAGTTAACTTATTGCACTTTGTCTGATTCTACATCTTACCTTTACACAGGGTGCAGCTACTGTTAAACCATTTACATGTGGACGTATAGTTGGATATTGCAAAGATCCATGTGTAATAACGTTGAACCGCTGTTTGAACAAATGCTATAGTAATATGGAAACCAATCCAGCATGCAAATTACCAGCAAGACCACCAAACAAAGAATCTGACGAATGCCTAAGGAATTGGTGGAGATGTAGGAAACCCTGTGATACAATGCACAACCGATGTGTTGTATGCTATGATAATCTAGTATCGTCACCTTGCCCTATACGATACTCAAAAGAGTGCTGCAATAAAAAGTTTCAAAGATGTGATAAGAAGCCAAAGCTAAATCTGTTCCACCCATCTTCAAAGGCTTAGGGCTAAATTCCAGCACCCAAACCTGTGAAAGGAAATACTTCTGTCAGAACAATCCATCCTGGTGTTTGGTCTCTTACGGCCTAGGAAGGTCCTATTATGCGCGTTTTGTTCTATCCTATAGTGGGGGGATTAGTGTATAAGTCGGATTAGGGGTTTTTTTTTTTAGTATAGGAGCTTAAATTGCTTGGCGGATCTAGTTAGTCCGTATTTAACATCGAATATACTTCAGAAATTTAGAAATTATATTCTTAGACTATGATCCAAAAGGGTTTTAACTTGACTTAAAATTCCTCAAGGATGGGATGAAGGGTCTACTGCTGTTATCACCCAACTTCCGTTATTCTAAAAGATCTGTAATCTCGACGACAATATTATATCCAGCGTCATGTTTCTTATTAATCTTGGCGCGGGAATTGGAGCACTACTTTTGTTCTTGCTGAACGATCGAATTGGCCGAACAAGATCGCTATAGGTCTATGAAGTTGTCTATATTATGGGCTGCCTTATCTTTTGTTTCTCGACAAGAAATATCTGGATCCTATCTATTGGTCGATTGATTGCTGGCTTTGAAATAGGAGCTTTATCAATCGTCTGCCTAATGGAAATATGAAATATCTGAAATTGCTACTAAAGCTGTGAGAGGACTAATGGTATCGTGGTTTAACATCTACATACTCTTGGGTCAAGCAGTGGATGTCTTCATCGTTTACCTAGTGAAGTGGGAAGAGCGCGCTGGCGGTCTGACATCGCAGACAAGACGACGGGGGTGCTCAGTGCTTCGACGGAGATCATCGGAGCTAAGCAGGCCCCCAGAACGCCGGAATAGGAAATAGATGTTGCTCTTCAGAGAGGGGTAGAACGCTTGGATTGCTATGCTATGAAAATTGGGCTAGAAATACCCCTGGGACGTATGTGGCGTAGATAAGATGTGACGCGGTTTCCCCATTACACTATATATTTATCTTATCTTTTATAACTCTTGGAAGATCTACTAGAACGTAGGCAGGAAGAAAAGGAGGCTATTCTAAGAATAGTATTGTGCGTCTAAAGAGAAAGAAAGAAGAAGAGAGAAGCTATAGAGGAGCGAGAACTAATAGGTAGGAGGGTCACGGTCACGTGATCCACTAATAACAGGAACTCCCTTTCAACATCTTCTACAAGATCATCTATCTATCTCTTCGAAAAAGAGCCTCTTATAAAGCTAGCAATAATATAAGAAAACGTAACTTAATATTATTAAGTTTATAGATAAGAAAGGGTAAAGAGGTAAAACAAAAGGTATATTTAGGGTCTAAAGAATGAGTAAAGAGTGATCTAGTAAATAAGATAAAGTAAACTGTATAAATAGGGCGTGCAATATTAGATAATATCTCGATTAGGAAATAAAGGTAGTTTTATAAAGAGATATTTAATTGTTAGGAAATCCTTTTTAGGGAGAAAAAGAAGAAGTGATTTCTTTCTATATAAATAAGGAATCCGGTGAAAGGGTGTTAATAATAGTGTTTTTTACTAATGAAGTATTAGTATAAGGATCTATAGTATAGAGAGTTATAAAGGCTATATCTATATAAAATATATTGTTAAAAAGCTTTTATAAATTAAATATAATTATCTAGTGTTAAAATAAGATATGGATAAGAGGTTTTATAAAGCTATCTATTATTATTTTCGCTATAGGGATCTTTATAAAAACGATATTATTAATTTTAACTTCTTTTTAAATCTTATAAAATCATATAAAGATATATTTTATATTTATATAAAAAACGAGGTTTTCAGTAAGTATAATAGCTCTATTATTATCTATTATAATTTTAATAGATTTAAAGATCTAGATATAAAGCTTAGTAAGTAAATAGATAAGCTAGATAGCTTTTTAGATCGTAAGAGTTTATATAATATATTTAGATTCGATAATCGAGATTATAATATAAGGCTATTTCTTAAAGGTCTAGAAAATAGATTCTTTATTAAATATAAAGACGAAACTAGATATAAAGAGGGTACTCTTAGAATAAAAGCTAGACTAGTTAATATTAGAGTATCTAATAAGCTCTAAATCTCAATATTTAGAGATAAGATCTAGATCTACTAATTTAGGATTAAGTATATTATATATTCGATTCTTGATATTATAAATAATAGGGTCTTTGATTAAATAATGTTATTTATATATAAAGAAAATATATAAGTCTTTTAAACTTTATAAATAATAAAAGACCTATTTAAAAATAGCTGCTTATTATTTATCTAGATTAGTTATAAAATAAATTAATTTAATAATAGAAAACGAGATATTAAAATAGATAGATATTATTAGCTAGATAAAAAAGCTAATTTATTTCTAGAATCATTTTATATTAGTTTTGGATATAGGAATTTTAACTAGATTAAAAATAAGGATTCTCTTTTTATTTATTAGCGTATAGATATTATTTAACTTATATAAACTAAATTTTAGTAGGATTTTCATAATATAATCTTTTTAAAAAGAGATAAATTTCTTTTAGATAATAAATAATATCTATTCTTAGAAATTAATTAACTTCTTTCTTATTAGTAAGATCGAAATACTTTATAAGTTTAGTCTTAAATTATATAATAAATCTTTTAGTTAAGAAAGTAATAAATGGGTTATCGATATAGATCAAGATATAAATAAGGTTATCTTTAATAAATTTAATAAAGATAGATTGATCTAACTCTAGTATAATAAATCCTATTTTAATTAAGATGTCACAAAGAAATAGATACTATTTACGAGATATTTATTTTAGATTATTTATATTCTAAAAAAGTAGATCTATTGTTTTAGAAAATCGCTTACATTCTTTTTTAAAAAGCGTAATATAGATAGACTCCTTTATTTCTATATTTAAAAATATAGTAATTATATTAATATAATAAAGAGGCTATCTATTCTTAATTATAATAGTTATAAAGATTTTAAATGATATAAGCTTTAAAATAATAATATAAAGTTTATAAAAATTGATATTTTTAATCTAATTAAAGCTACAATAAACTAAATAAGCTTTATAAATGTTATTATATTTAATTATCTAAATCTAGTAAAAGATAAAAGACTATTTTTAATCTTTTTAATAACTAATAATATATTAGATACTATTTTTATTATAATATTTTAGCTTCTTTTTTATAACAATAAGCTATTTATTATATTTAAGATAGATTATAGTCTATTTCTAGATATATAGAATATAACTAGGATCTTTAGATCCTGGTTTAAAAGATTTATCTTTATTAAAAATTATAGAAATATAGAGTTCTTTAGTAGTATTAAGATTATTTACTAATATAAAGATAATATTAATATCTATTTTTATATACTTTTTTAGATATTATAAAACTATAGGGGATAGTAGACTAACTATTATATAGTAGATTCTATATAAAGAGATTAAAATAAAAATAGTTAAATAGTAATATCTTAATAAAATAGATATTATTTTTTTTTAGATAGATATTATATATTATATATCGATTCTCTATTAGAGATATTAATAATAATTTATAAAAGAATATAATTAGATAAAGATATTATAAATAGACAGTTTAATATAGTTTTAGTATTTATAGATATAGTTAAAGTAAGTAAAGTAGCTATTACAGCTCTTTCTTGATATTATCTTTATTATATTTTTACAATCTATTTAGATTAATATAGTTAAGGAATTAAATAAATGTTATTATTATTATCTATTTATATCTCTTTTAACATCTTTTCACTTATAATCATTAGATAAAGAAGGTAAATTTAAGGTTTTAAAACTATTTAAACTAGTAGAAAAAATAAATATATAAAAATTAGTAAGGATTATAAATATAGAGAAATTAAGAGTGATTTAGATCTTATAAGAATCAAAAGAGATCTAGGAATTATAAAATTAATAAATAATTAATTATCTATTAGAAAATTAATAGAAATAAACTTTATAATCTTTATAAAAAAGTGTTTAAATAGAATTAAAATAAATTAATCTTTATATATCTATTCTCTTAATTTAATATTATATTAGGATTTAGGTAAGCTAGCTTCTTTGATTTTATTAAAAACGATATTATAAGAGTAAGTTATCTTTTTTATATAGATATTATAGATTATATAATGATTTCTAATATTATAACTAACTAAATAGCTCTTATTTATATAGGAATCAAGTTTATTAGTATACTATTCTTTATTATTATAATATTAAATCTAGTAACCTAATATCTAGAGATAAGAAATATCTAGCTTATAGCTATAGAAAGCTTTATATAAGGTTATATTAATTTATAAATAATATAATTAATTGATTATATAATTTACTTTTTATAAAATAAGTAATTAAAGATGTTTTAGAAACTGATTTTTAACTATTATAGTAATTATAGATTCTATTAAATATCTATTAGACTATTTAGCTATATTATTTAGCTACTTTATATATAGAGAGATTAAAGATATAATAATATTATAATACTTATAAAAAGTCTAAATAGGTTTATAAATAAAGATATTATCTCCTTAAATCTATTTAATCTTAATCTTAAACTATTAGTCTAAGAAACTAACTATTTTTTATAGATTTAAAAGGATTTTAGTTATTAATTTTATTATAAAAATCTATATATAATAGAAGGTATTATTAGAAATTATTATAAAGTAAGTCTTATATTTATAGCCTATATAAAAGTAGGATCTTTAGATATTAAAATATAGTAAATTATCTAGTTTAATATAAATTTAATATTCTTTATTATATAAAAGTTAATAGCTTTTAATATTAATATAAGGAATATAGAGATAGATAATATCTTTATTTTTTTTAAAGATTATTTTAATTATATTATATTCTATTTTATAAACTTAATTCTTATTAGTATAGTAGGTATAGCAATAAGCTAGATTAATTAAAATAAGATTATTCTTATATTTCTTAGTAACATTAATATCTATAAAAACAAAAACAACTATATTTACTATATTTATAATAGCTTAATTATTTTAGACCTAAAAATTATCTTCTAGACTATTAATAAGGTTTTTATATGAAAATAGATTAATTAAGGGCGAATAGGTTACTTGTATAATATAAATAAAGTGTTTTATCAAGTCTAATAAACCCTCTAGATATTTAAACTAATAGTAGTCTTTAATAAGATTAATAATATATAGATCAATAATTTTAAACTTATTTTTATATAAGAATATAGTCTTTTTAGTCCTAAAGTTAATTTAGTAACTCTATTTATTAAGCGTGAAAATAGAAATTAGATTATTGTTTAATTCTAGAGTAAGCTAGACTTCTTAAAAAAATAGCTTTTTAAGATCTTAAGTTATAAAATCTTAAATAGATAGAACGATATTATTAAAACCCTTAGTAAAGAAATACTAATTTGTTATAATAATAATAAGTATACAGTAAAACTTGAAATTAATAAAAATCAATTAAAAGGATATTATATATTTAGAAGTACTAAAATTAATTATTTAATTAAATTTAATAAATAATAATAAAGAAATAATAGTATTTTTTAATATCTAAATACTAATCTACTATATCTAAAGATTATTATAATATATAAATATTAGATTAATAATTATTATATTAGCTTATATATTATACATTAATGAGATATTAATTAATAGAGTAAAGATAATTATTGAATTAGCTAAATTAGCTAAATTACTAGAGCTATTTTTCTTTAGATAATAATCCTTAAACTTATAAATTCTTTAAGATTTATAATATTAATAATAATAAATATTTTTATTATTTTCATATATTTTAGGCTTTAAGAAAATTAATTTTTTATTCTTATTTTTAGTATTCTTTTTATTGTCTTTAGATAATAAAGAAGTATTTAAAGATAATAGAATATTCTTTAGAGAGATCTTAATAGTTGTTAAATTTATAAAAGAAAGATTTATTAATTTATTATTACTAGAATAAATATATTAGATTAACTTATTAGTCATTTTGAAAATATAAAATTCCTAATATATAATATATATATTTATTAGTTTAAATGTCTAGATAAAAGTATTATAATAAAGATTTAATATGATTATAGTTATAAAAGCTATATACTTTTATTTAAAAAAAATCTTATTTGATATAATAATCTTTTTATAGTTATAAAGTACAAGTCGCATTTACCAGGAGGGCGCCGTTTCCGGCAACCCCCCAGTTGGGTTTAGCGCCCGTCCCGTGCCGCCCTGTTCTGGTTTAGCGTCACCCTATCGGGTATGGTGTCTCGCGCTATCCCCCAACGGGAACTGCCGCCAGTCGCCGCCCTCGGGAGCCCTCGTCAACTATATAGTCTAGACGGTGCGTCGCTCGACCACCTCTCTCTCCTTTCCCACGGCCGTACGTTCTCCTCAGCTCGCGAGCGCGGACGCCACTGCTCCGGCCCCCTGCATTTCGGAAATGACCGTTCCCACAAGGAGTACTTCGCCCCCTTCGCTCCCCACTCGTGTCACTGCGAAGTCGCAGGCATCCACCGACTGATTCGACATCCGCCGTGTGAGATGCTGATCTTTCACAGATGGAGGCATGCGACATGGCTCGCGAGGTGTCCTCGCCTGCCTAAATTGGCCGCCCCCAAATGGTCTCCTAGCCATTGGGAGCTTCCTATTTCAGCCCGGTTCAAACCTCTTGAAGCAATCTTTACTATTTGGGGAAACGCATACAGCCCGTGTCTCATTTCCGGGGCAGTACTATGAGCTCTCGATAGGCATGTGGTGTTGTTATCTGCTCGGCGCAGCGTAGCCACCAATGACAAAAATGCCTCTTGCGTCCCCGGGTCCCCATCATCAGGTGTGGGCCCGAAGTCGCTCCATTGATTCCCAACCGATGATGACTTATGAGAAGGCTCGAGCGGGCTACGTGATGATCTGTCGAAATGGCCGCGGAATTATCCCAATGGTGGGACAATTATTGGGTCACACTCGTAACTGTAACCGGACGATACATCGCTTGCAGGGATCTGCGCTGGTTTAGGAACCGAGATATTGCGGATTACGGCTCTGCGAGGCTGACGTGGAACTGCTCGCCATAGTTCACGGAAAGTTAGAGGGATCAATCTAGGGGATTGGTCTACGAAGGCGTCCGCATGTCCGAACAGTCCGATGGAACCGCGGAGAATCGGTGTGCTTGTGCATGAGATGGCCGCCATGATAATTGAACATGGTCTCTGAGCGAGGCAGATTCCGACAATGGAACTATCTCTTTGCTTGTGGGTCCAATTTCTTATGGATCCCAATGTAGCTCAGGAGATTGGTAGCTGAATGAGGATGCTGGCATGTGCAACCTCCGAGTGGCGATACGGCGATGCGGCGGAGCTACTTGGCGTTGTTTAAAGAAGTGATTTCAGACACTTTATAAGCCGTCCGCACTCCTTTTCCATTTCGCCACTTCTCATTTACCGTCTGTTGATTTGGCCGCCATGCATATCAGCCTTGACAACATTAGCTTCTACTCTCACCCTCCTACAAAGCCCTCCTCGCCTGCGCTCCCTGCTTCCTGTTGGAGGGCCTATAATGCCTCTGTGGCTCCTCACCCTCTTCCCCGTGCCCTCCCGCCGAGGCCGTATTTTCAAGAAGCGACCTTCAGCTCAGCATTTGGTGCCAGCACTGATATCTCTCTGGCAACCCCAGATGCCCTGAAGGAAAATTTGGATTCTCGTGCGGGAAATGAATTTGATATCGAAATAGAGAGAGCTATGACGCAAAACGGCCAGGAAACGCATGAGACCGACTTGGACGTGCACATCGACTCAGGGCTCCGAAACGAATGTCACACCGACATGCCTGAAAGTGACCACACATACTTAGTAACTGGTATGTCAGAACCATTGCTGAACTACGATAAGTAAGCGTAGCTAATATCATCCACCAGATCATCCAGACCGATGCCCTTCGGGAGATTCTCTTGATGACTCAGATACGGCTTTTATCCCGGCAGAACCTCAGTTGCGTCATGCTGGTAGGTGCGAACTATTATCTTTCTGTTTGACTTATCTCGCTAACACATACAAGACCCGCCCATTGCCTCAACCGTTGCCCCAACCGACCTGCTTAGATGGCACCGAGATAGTACCTCGTCGCTAGGAACTTATGATGAGACTGACAAGAGCCCTGCTCCGCCCGAAGTCAGCTTGGCTTGCCCGCGTGTCTTGCCATCACCTCCGACAGATGTACCAGCATGGCCTAGCATTGAAACCATTATCCAAGATGAATCTGTCGTAGATGACACCATGTCCGGGTTAGAAAACCATGGAGATCAGACGGGTATTACAAGAAATGGGATGACAACACAAATTTTCCAGGTCAATGAACCCTCAGTCAGCACGTCTATTTCGGATAAGGATATAAGAGGCAGACTCACTGAGAGTCAAGCCCGTGCCTTCTCCCGTCTTGGACCTCAAACTCGCTCGGTCAACCAATCACAAGCCATACTGGCAAACTCTCCATCCCTTTGTACGCGACAAAAGGCAAAGTCCGCCCAGCGAGAGCAATTTCCTGCCGTTTCCGTTGTCATCCCTGTCCGCCGAAACGATGAAGTGGATGCAAGGGCCAAGAAGAAATCTCTAACCAGAATACGACGGTGTAGTCGCTCGAGCGACAACGGCAACGACATTGACAACCTCGAGAAAGTTCGAGTAACACGGACGTCGATGAGCAATTATTCACCGTCGTCAGGTGGACCTAATTTCAAGGCAAGGAGGCGCCCACTGAAAACGTCGAAGAGGGCAAAGAGAAACGTCTTAGCCCCGAGCAATGATATCGTCGGAAAATGCCCTGATCAGTCCCAAACGCCCTCAGGGGGTGGTTTGGCTGTCTCATTGGATCAAACTCAAGAGATTTTCGGTCGTGGAGTTCTCCGTATCCAAACTCAAGGTCCTCGACAGGCCTACTTCATGACGTTCCTTCCAGAGGTTTCTCATCCTTCCTGTATACCGTCACCGTCTGAAATGCCTCCTGAACAGTCCCCACAACAGCCTTTACAACAGCCTTCACGTTTTGAAGATTTTTCTGAGAACGCATCCTCGCGACAGGTGGGACGCAAAAAAGGCCATAAGCGAAACATAGCTGCAGCCTGTGGGGACGGAGACGGGCGGTCGACCAAGCTGCCACGACACTTGCCATCTCGTGATGGTCGCAACGAAGCCCAGCGAAAGCGCAGGAGGCGCTTGCGGTGGTCTTCAGAAGAGGTGAATTTTTTGCTAGAGTTAAGAAGAGACGAGCAACGACCGTGGTCGGAGGTGACAAGCTTATTTTTGGACCGATATCCGGGAAGAAGTCCTGCTGCGATCCAAGTATACTGGAGTACGTGTCGGCGTCGAGAAGGCAAGACTAAGAGCGCGCCAACTACCGTCTAAAACAAAGCATATGCTTCAACCGTCTCCAGTACATACAGCTACAAACTACAGTCTTGGGGAATACCTCCAATGCGGGACATATCCATATGGAAGTCACGGATCGGTAAAACCTCTCCGTCAGCGTAATACCTTGTCGACAATGTAGTCGTTCAGGTCGAAAGCAGATGCGGAATCTGCGGCAACGATTCAGTACAGAAGCGGTGGCCAGCAAAGCCCAGGCATGTCTTCGTGAATGCGCCACAGATCCATCAACCATATGCATTGTTTTGAGGCTTTCGCGGCTTCTATATGTGTAATGTCTTATCCTTTTGTCTTCAAGGAATCTTGTATATGGCGTAAATCGATGTTAAACTGGTGTATTCTTCGTTAGCGTCTTTTTTATTTTTCATCCATCCCTTCGGCCCTCACTGAATAGAACCTCCTTCTGCTACCTTTGCCCGCTGCGAAATGCCTCATGCGAGCGCCAGCGGGCTAAGGCTAATGAAGAAAGCGGGTCATCATTGGTTGATACTTTAATCATGCCGCAGTCTCCGCAGTCGGGGAGGCTACCACTCATTGTGTTACGGAAGGAATGAATTCATGAATACAAATTGGAATATATCATGAACAACTTCCCCGTGACGAAAGCTCTGACAATGGGGCAGCAAGGACTATTCAAAGGAGCCCTCCCCCACCTCGACGTGATAAATCCTCTAGGGAATTCGGTAAATGTTCAAGCTCTTTCAGAAGCGCATCTTGGTCGTCACACTTTCGCGCCGAATCAAAATCAATTAAAACAGCCTGTGAATCACGAATAAGAAAGTTGAATCGGTTTGTATCTCCGTGTTGTATCCCTAGGCGATGTAATCGAGACAAAGCCTTCCGACAGGACTCAAGGTCCTGGGGGCCAGCATGCCTGGCATCCTTGATGCGTTCCATCAAGAACCCAATCACGCGGCCATCTTCGGTCAAATGGCCAAGAAATTGTGGACCGATTCTATAGCCCTCAATCCATTGGTAAGCCGTGGTCTCACTTTCTAGATATGGGATCTCCCAGTCAAAGCGAGCGAATTTAACCACAACCACGTCATTGAACAAATGGCATTTGACTTCATAAATGCCCGTTCGTAACTTTTCTCCGACCACGATCTCCGAATAATCAACATAAGTTTCGTTCCAGGTGTTCTCAACACCAGGGAAAGCGGTCCGAATAGCATAGGCAAAGTGGGGTTGACCATTCGATTCATTTTTGGTCACCAGTCCATCGTTCCAATCTCCAGCGGGTAGGGCGGGTAGAAGCGAAACCAGCGAGGGACCGAAACACATATCGTCAGCACTATAGAGACCAGGGTCTATAGTGACATATTTTATGTTCCGACCGTCGACCAGGAGGCGAAAGAAACTCTGGTCATTTTCGTCGACTTCTGCTTGAAGCAATTCGATTTTCATTTGATTGCGCGTCATATTGTCGAGCAAGCCTTGGACAGAGAAAGTGAGATTGAATGTGAGGGGGTTATCCTAGCCGAATCGCTTTCGAGACCTAGGGACTACTATTTATATTTCAGTGTCATGAGTTAAAAGAACTGAAGAAGCCAGGAGAACACCCCCTGGCTGATCCCTGGCGCCAAAAATATACTGCCGGTCTTTCAGCTCCCTGGCTGAACCTTATTTCTGGGCGACAACGCATCCTGATTGAGTAGTGCACGTTAAAGCCACATGTTTGAAACGAAATTAATTCGATTTCAAGATTTCTCCGCACTAGCCCCAAAGTTTCCCTTATAATTCATCGCGGTCGAAACTTCATTGAGTAATAGGCAGGCGCAAGATACTCTCGGATTTGGGACTGGTTCAAGAAAACCTAATGTGCCACCAGCGCTAACGAGGCGTATCGCCTGTCACTAAACCAGCGCTTATGGCGTTGAAGTATTTGGTTGGCTCTGAGGCAACAAAAAATATTTTAGCCAGATACTCAAGGGTGCCACATCTTGATCCATTCACTTCGCTTTAGAAGCAGAGTGGCCATACCACGATTAGGAGGGGTGTCGGGAAGGAAGGCATATATAAACCCCCAGCCCATTTTCGCATAACCAAATTTCATTTTACTACCCACTTTATTCATACCACATTAGCATATACCGAAACCAAGGTGAGTTTGAAGAGAAATATGCGATTTGCCGAAAGACCTACTCTAAACTGCTCTAGGTTCAAGCAAGGTTCTGATATCAAACCCGGAAACGCCGCCCAGATCTTCACAAGGTATATATTACACTGGCCTTCCTTTCTCGTTTCCGTCAGTTGAGACTGATCTCATGAAGATGTGCACCCAATTCTATCGAATGTATACATGTGGGTGTAGGAAAACCGAAGAGTTTAAACAATGCGAGGAACGCCTTGGCACGAACGTCAAGTGTTCTCCTGTGACGTGGGAACCATTGGATCCTTCCGTCCATATGTGTGCGCGACACATGGTGAAGCCTGGCAAAGACGAAATGCGCAGATAGGAGAGAGTTTTGAGATATTGTCAACGGATGGAAAGAGTCATCGAGTATTTATACATAACTAGCAAGGTTCAAAGCGAACGTCAGGCTTTGCAGCTCCTGTGATGGTAATTGCCAGCTAGCATATGGCAGGAGATATCCAAGTTAACTCTTGAAATCAATTTCTTTATTTCATCAGTTCACTTTGGCTTGTGCTTGCCGTCAATGATCTCTCCACACTCTCTAATATGATCTCGGTAGCTCTCCTTCGTAAATTTTCGGCGCCAGTGTAGTGGACGGCCGTAATGATGAGATTTGCAGGCAATACAATGAAATCCCCATTGCGGACTTGCCATGCGAGCATCAAGAACTGGCGCTCGAATGATTCCCATAAAACGCAAAGGATTAGATGAAAACCCGTCAAACGAGTCTTCAGATCTGGGCAGTCGTGGTTTCACTCCACCAATGGATGTCGCCTTTCGAGACTGATGAATTTCGAGTCTCTTGTTAAGACTCTCTGATGCGTATTGTTTCATTGAGTTGCTGTCCCCGTGCACCACGATTCCTGCCTCACGCGCAGCAGAATGGTCGATTAAAGTAAGTCGACGGCGACATTTGATCCCTCGAGACGAATAGCGACCAGGAATACTCTTGAAAGAAGGAAGTCTTGCTAGATGTTCTGAGCGAAGTCCAAATTTCCGGATCACGTCACTTCGTAGGAGTGGTAGGTAGTCGGTTTTCTCGGTAAAGCAGAGAAAACAAACGCGACGACAGGTGGCTAGGTATAGGTAACCACCAAAGTCACCACAGCTGTCACAATCAGCTGTACGCAGCTTATCATATAGATCTTGGCATGAAAAAGAAAATCCAGTTCTGATGCTGAGACATCCTCGGATCGAAGCTGGCGCGTGCGTAACGATTTGTTTGTATTGGGGGATCTGGTTTACGACCAGCCTTGTTCGTCTGTTGACGCGCCGAAAATGAGTCATTGATCGAATATCAAGCCGTAGAAGGATCATTTGAAGGATTTCCAGAGGCACAATTTCCAACAGTCCAAGTCCGTAACACGGAACGCGATCATGACCGTTATCTAGAGGACAGAGACATTCAATATCATCTAGCGTGTGATCAATAAGATCAAGAAATGCATATGTCGATTCGCTTAGCCTTTGGATTGCTGACATGATATCAGAGGGTGAATAAGTGCTGGTTTTCGAAGATGTTTCGTCGGTTTATGAATGACAGGGGCTAGCAAAAAGTATTGGATACGCGGCAAGACGTTATTCCGATAAATGTTTCCTATATACTCTCTTCTTTGTTGGCCATGTGTTAAATGTGCCGTTGGCAAAGAAAAACCAGGGAATGCATTTGAGACCAACACGATGCTCCAAGATTTCTACATATTCCCAAAGCCATGTGATCTATTAGTGCTGTCATATGGCAGTCTGCCATTTTCGGGATTGGGCAGCAGATCATGTGATTCTCGGGCGCCTTGCGACCGGGACAGTCCCGCCTTCCCCCTCACTATCAGTCGCGTCTTCAACAACACTTCCCTGACTGAAAATAAGTCTGATTGATCTGGCAGTCTGAAATATTCCCATTGCATCCGCATTTGCATTGGACAATTTTTTCGGCGTGCCAAGCTACCAGCTATAGACAGTGGAAGAGCCTTCGCTAATGATCTGATAGAGAATTCCACGTATTGCCCTAGGACCCTCTTCTGTAACCATATATAACCATATATTTTGAAACTTGGAAGCGATGATAGTCCAAGTGTACCTATATCGATCACTGCCCATAATTTAACGAGAAACTGGCTGCCAAACGTCTTTGCCTATCAGATAGTACATTATATTACATGAGGAGACTTGGCTTCTAAAAGGCGATCGGACTAAATGGAAGCCCAGTGCCCTAACTAGTATTCGGCACCGTCTTCGAGGGCATTCTTCTTTCCACCGTGTGATTGAGGAGTGGATAAATCGGTGTATCCCATTCTCATAATCCTGCCTTTAACAAGTCGAATGTTTGGAGGGATGTGAGGAAGCATAATGATTTGGCTGTCCATGTTGCCGTCTGATTGCATAGAGTCCGTCTGTGATATGTCTGCTGAAAGGCTGTAGAGTAAGAAGGCAATATCAAAAGTTTCGCGCTTTTTAGGAAAGGCTCACTATGACAGTCTTCAATTGAACTGAGTTTTGACGCTTCTCCCTTCTCCTTTGGCTTTGGACTGTAAACTGGTGGAGGCCTTCGGAGGCTAGATGCAGGTTTGATATTTTCCGGCTCATATACCGCAGGTTCAGTCAGTGTATATGGGCTGACAGCATTTGGGATCGTTTGCTCTAGGTTCTCGTCTATTTTCTGTTCGATTTTCGGTCCCCAAAATGCCTGCATGCAGTTTGGTAGAAGCAATCGAAGCGAGATAGAAGACAAGCACTCCATGGGGCCGATTTGTCAAACAAATTCAAATAATTGTGGTAAAAGCATCAATATATAGGTTCCAAACTTGGTTGGTGCTATTTTATTCAAACCAGGAGGATATAAGGGGACCTATTTATACTGTCCAAGATGGTCATCTATCGCACCTTGTCATGAACTTAAGTAAGTACCAGAACCCCTCACTGGTGACGATGATATGCTTGTCGCAGTCTAGGTGCATGGCCTTCGGAATCGTCTCATACAAATAGTATGGCCGAGAAGGGTGTTAAGCGTGGGGTGGGTCTAAGATATGGCTGATCGGCGAAGCCGGGAATTGGATGGCTGTCAATGTTCCAGGCAAGAAGCTATATCTGGCTGCCAGGTGGTCATTCAAACCTACGTCAGCCTGGAGCGTCAACCTTTTGCGTACTATGGTCGAGTATGAGGATGATCAGTGAAGTTGCGGAGTTGAATGGCTATCGATTACCCTTGAGAAGGTCCTACGTTAGTGATTTTCATGCTATCACCGAGATACCCGAGAAGCCCGTGCAAAGGCCTATCTAGCAGCCTTCAAGGCGCAAAGCGAGGCTCACTGGAATCAAAATAGTGATTCTCGTTTCATCGAAGGGTACTGTGGAGGCTATACACTTGTGTGGAAGACATCGAGTATAATTCAGATTGTTGATTGTCGACAAAGCTAATACTATGTAATACGAAGGAACACCAATATCCTCGCTAACACATGTTACCTAGGGCAGATTGTGGATGATATTCCGTACGCGTTCCGGCGAGGATACATGGTTCGAGATAGGTGAACCGTTGAGCCGCGAAGCACCCATTTTGATCGAGAACGCCCTGCAATGTTAGCTGATTTCGGATGTACGAGCGAACAGTCTTGTGCTTACAGAAAAGAAAAGCCTCTTGATGTACCCTGGTTTCTGCTTGAAAATCACTACGTCAGTCATTAAGCCTATGAAAAATTGATAGACGACACACTCATATACGACAAGCTTCAGCCCTCCAATGCGCGGATCATTCTGGATATTACGAATAACCAGCGGATTCTGCAATGTAGCAGGAACGAAACAACCTAGGGGAGTGAGTGACCCTCCTCGAAACTCCACCCCAGTGGTAGTCTCTTCGTCTCTTACGCTTTCGTCAGATAAATAGGTTATGGCGCTAGCGGGGTGAGACTCACAGTGGTATGCCTTCTGTAGAATATTCTTGCCAACAAATGAAGAAAGCACAGCTTAGGTTGGCCATTGGGACGTCAGAAAGGAGGTTAAATTCTGGATTAACATCGATAATTCCAATGTTGAAGAAGGAAGTTGAGGACATTCCGGCGAGCTTGTTCTGTGTTGAGAGATCTTGCCACATTATAGAGCTCGAGGAAGAGGCCTTATAGAGTAAATGAAAATAGAGTTGTTTGAGGAACTATAGGTGCAGAGCGAGGAGAACTATATATATTCAAGCTGTCGGTGGACGATAGGCCTAGGCAACGCCGCGAGATTACCGTTCAATTGATCTAAGGTGATTGGAATTAATTCTTTTTCCCTCAAAATCATTTATGTACAATACCCGCTGACAGAATGGGTTGTGAATTATTTTAGTGCTTCACCCGTGATAACCAGCCGCTGGATTGCAAACTGGTAGACGCCTTTTGAGGGTTTAGTTTTTTCCGGCTCATTTACCGCAGGTTCAGCCAGCCTATAGGGGCTGGCAGCAATCGAAGCGAGATAGAAGTCAAGCACTCCATGTTGTCTCGTATAGACGAGTATGTGGTAGCAGCATCAATGGAGAGGTTTCGAACTTAAGCTGGTGCTTCTTCATTGAACCCAGGAGGCTATAAAGGGACATATCTCAACTGTCCAAGGTGACCATCAATTGCGCCTGGTCATTACCATAGATCTAGCATGGTGAGTACCCGCACCTCTCTCTGGTGATGATGGTATGCTCACATCAGAAGCCCGCCCCGATTCCCATCCAAATCCTGTATGGGCCGGCAAAAATTGCTTTGAAGACATTGCTCTTCTTGAGAATTGCATCTCCGTCACTCTTGGAATGGAGACCCTCGGAAACCCTCAGCCAAGATGCTAGAATCTTGCTACGTGTCTGCAACACTTTGAGAAGCAGAAGATACCAGGAACCCCGTTTCGATGAGAACATTTCTCTCAAAAATGACATACACGTCCACGTGGGGAACACATTACTCGATCTCAGTTATGGTACTGTTCTAATGCTAGCGCTGATGACTTGGCATTTTGATGCTTCATCTTCTGAAGCATCACGGGGCTTGATTTCTTTCTTGAGATGGCCTTACGACAGTGAAGTGAAGGGAGTACTTCAGGGTCGATATCGAAGCATAATGTGTGAACCGGGCTCTTCAAACTTCGACTTTTTGCTGTCCTAAACTGAGCCCTATCTAGTGATCAGTGCAATTGGTAAACATGGAGTGAATTATATCTGCTTTGCTCAACAGTAACCGAGCTTTTTGAAGCGGATACAAATATCTTCGAGACGTTCCTTATACCAGTCCTTTAAAACGTTGTGGATCTCGTATCCGAGAACTTTCCCAAGCTTGTACCTTTTTGCATATTCCTGCAGGTATTTGGAATGAAGGTACTGGTAACAAAGAGCTTTCTTTGAGTCGAGATCTTCCACCGGTTGTTGCGAAATAATCGGATCATCGCCGCTCAGAGGAACGAACTTTGTAATCCCATATTTCCCTAAGACCCGTGAAATACCGACCTCAAGCACCGCAAGATCCACTAGGAATGCTTCATGTGTGATGCCATGGTCATCCTGGGCTTGGTGCTGATCGCCAAGCTCTTGAAGAGCAATGGCATCAAAAACCACATTATTGAGGCCCCTTCTTTTGATGTCTTCCATAAGTGTGAGTCCATTGGGAGGAAACCAAACTCGTACGGTCTTGTTTGGTTAGAGATTGTGTTAATGTGGAGAAAGGGTAACTTACATGTAAACGAATCATTACTGAGTTTTTGGCAGAAAGACTAGAGTCTGAAGAGGGAGAAAAGGCCGGCTGTTCTTCCAACATCATAGGCATGGCGCCTTTCGCAGGTTCATGTATACTACTTCGATTGGGGTCTGGGCCCCCGAGTAGAATTGTCTCGCGCGAGCCGTTTGGGGAGGAGAAGAGGCGGGAAATGCAGTTTGAAACCACACAATAAACTCTCTGTAGACTCAAGCAGATCATAGCTCGCTGCCGTGAATTCTCAAATGAAACTTCGAATGAGCGATGGGCCAGAGAAATGGAGGCCTCTTTATGTCATGATACACAGAGAAGAATCGGCATCTCCTGTTTAGAAGTTGCTGTCCCAAAATCGCATTCAAGTCGCTGCTGATAACCCATCCTGTCCAACCACGTCCTCTATCAGAATGAAAAAAGAACTTATCTCTTAGTGAACAACAGCTTAGCTACAGTCAATGGGCCAAGATTTCAAAATTCGTATTGTCCAACAGAACGCAGTCAGGCAGCCTCTCTAGAAGACTCAGCCGATGAGCTGAGGGGTAAAGGCGCCACAGGCAAGAGATCTCCTTACTAGTGCGCCCGAAATATGAGTTGGGGCGCACTAGCAGGGATCCCATATGCACATGCTCGCTGCATCTGAGAGTTCGTGAGCGGTGAACAATGCCCGCCGTTTCGGTCTTGATCGTTCTTCTCGGCCGTGACATTCTCCATTTTTCAACTTCTTCCCCATAATGATCAACATATCCGCGATTGTTGAGGCGATTCAAATTTTGTCGAGACTGGATGCAATTAGCACTCAAGACCTTATACCGTACCGAACCACGTTGGAACAAACCTTTCGAATTATAGAGAAAACACTAGACACTATTCCGAGCGACGCTCCTCGGTCGGAAACCAGTCTCCAACATTCTTCCCAGCAGCCTACACCAACAATTTCCATTACTTGCTCGGAAACACCTGCTAGCAGTGGGACGTCCTGCACTACCCAATCGTCGGTGGAAGAGACCGGTGAAAACAATGGCACGACCGAGGAAGCATCAGAAGCCATGGATGCTCAAAGACTTATGGATGCGCTTCATGGTGCCCGTCGATCTGAAAAGGTTTTCAAGTATTTATCATCTCAGCGCGATCCACTTGCGCAGACCGGTGACGACTGGGTCCAAGAGGACCCTCGTGTGGTCGATATCCGACTTTGTAACCGAGGCTGCTCACTGGATGCGTGTTTCCGACGCGGACTTGGACAAAGGTCCCTCGCAATAGAGTTCGATGAATGGGAACGTGAAGTTTTCGGAACATCACGAGTGTCTGGGCGTTCTCTAGATCCGGAGGCAATTGACGATAACAGTGGGCTCATCAACAGGTTCCTGGCACAAAACGCTATTCCATTCAAAAACAAAGAATCGGCATCTCATGGTATTAGAGACGGCATTCGTTTGCTCGTTTTCGAACGGATATATGGCCACGTTGGGGTGTCAGCCATTCTGACATTATTGTTCACTTTGTTTCGCGACGTCAAGTATGGAAGTTTCGTGGCCCTGAAACATCTGCTTCGCAAATCTGGTGCCTGGCATGATCTGGCAAAGGACAAATCCTCATGGTTGACTGCCTGTCAAATTCGATATGATGGTAAGTCTGTCGCACATTCATAAGATCGCATATTCATAAGAGCACCTCTAATTTCGATGGTAGCAAGGCACACTATGTGGCGAAAGATTCAAAGAACTTGGGGGTGCGAAATTAGCGGAAGTTTGCTCCATACAATTCCAAGTCAACTCACAATATTGGGTGATCCACAAAATTATGAGCAAACGCGCCGTTATCTACTCAACTCGGGACCCACAATATCAAGCAATCGCTTCAATCTTCACCAGTCGGACTCATATTCACATGATAGACGACAGCCTCCTCTGGTTGAACACAATACAATATCAACCATTCAAGCGCCACGGGAAAGAAGCGTTCCGCTGGCTATCTCTGAATTGATCAATCAGGATTCGGAGCCTCGACCTCTGACTCACTCGAGGAATACCGAAACCGATATGAGCTCTGCCAGGGGTCGTAGTACGGAAGCGGCTGCATATCTGACAAGACAGATACAACCAGTTTTTGAGCATGAAAGTAGAGTCTTGGAACTCCGCACCCGATATGACATGGATCAAGTTCCACCAAATTTCAATCGATGTGACTATGGAAAGATCCGGCCACTCAGCCAAGATGAGACCCTGAATATGAATCTCTGCACCCAGTTTGACCCTGGCCGCATCCCTCCAGCATTCAACCAATTTGACTACGGTACGATCCCGTCAGTAAGCCAGGATGAGACGGTGGATATGGATCTCTGCGCCCAGTTTGACCCTGGCCGCATCCCTCCAGCATTCAACCAATTTGACTACGGTACGATCCCGTCAGTAAGCCAGGATGAGACGGTGGATATGGATCTCTGCGCCCAGTTTGACCCTGGCCGCATCCCTCCAGCATTCAACCAATTTGACTACGGGACGATCCCGTCAGTAAGCCAGGATGAGACGGTGGATATGGATCTCTGCGCCCAGTTTGACCCTGGCCGCATCCCTCCAGCATTCAACCAATTTGACTACGGGACGATCCCGTCAGTAAGCCAGGATGAGACGGTGGATATGGATCTCTGCGCCCAGTTTGAAGATGCTGGCCGCCCTCCAGTCTTCAATCCCGGCTATGGAACTATTTCATCAACTACCCAGAGCGAAGACCAATATGAGGGCCTCCGCAATTACGACAATAATTTTCCATATCGCGAACGCCATATGCTTTCCGTGTTTTGAAATTGAAGAGCTAGATATGATCATGATATATATCGTTGTTGTACACATTGCAATTTGCTTTCCACCAACTAATCGTGTTCTGACAACTAACCATTCATGCATCTAAATTTTTCCACTCCCGTCAAGTGTTACTATTAGGATGTCCGAGCCGGTGAAGCGGTCTGGCGTGAGAACTCGATCGATGTCTGTAATGTCCCAGTATGAACCCGGCAGTAAGGTTTCCGCAGGTGTCAAGTTTGAATTTCCTTGTATGGGCGCGAGCCACAGCCGTTTCGTAGGGTTCTCGAGCCGAGCGGCTAATGCGAAGTGAAAAACTGTGCAATCGAGTACCTAGATGAGGACTGTAAGATAAATGGTACAAAATGGCTGTGGCAAGATAATACAGACTTTATGACCCCGAGCTTCTATATCTGCTTTCATTGCGATGCATTCCTTCAAAAGTCGATATTGCCAGCCTAATTCACTCTCTTTGACCCGTTCCATGCTTCCGCTCTGGATAAGACCCCTCATATTCGACAATATCGTTTTCGCGCTTTCCCACAGAGGCTCACCCGCCATTTCTTCGCAAAGCCCAAAAATTGACTGTAATAAAGTCAGCTTGGTGGTTTCACCCGACTTGGTTCGATACTTACCGACTATAGAAGAAATGCTTGTGGAAGCGAGGGGTCTTGTCGACATTGCGTCCGGCGGAATGGGCGGGGCTGTTACGGCCTAACGTCACATGACAGGAGCCCAAGTCGGAATAATAAGGCAGTAATAATGAACAATCTTGAGGCATGCTAGTCCTCAGTTCCGGAAGTTCATTGTACGGAGACGCATGCAAAATGGAAAGTGATATTGTGGGTTTTCCACTTTGTTGTGTAGCAAAGGATGAATCATTGGCGTGTCTGGAGAGGATGCATGATGAGTAGCAATTCGCGTAGCAATTCTCGTAGTCCTCATTTCCCCCATCTCGTGCACACATATTTTATGTACTGTAACCGCTAGCTTGTGTCCCAAGCACTTTCACAGTTAGCTCGTTTCAGACGGCCGAGAGATTAAGATATGCTCCGCAGGCATATATTTAGCTACCAATTACTTTTCTCTTAATTGAATCCATAGGTAGAGTAAATATATTTTAGATCCATTACCAATAATGGTACCCATCAGGTAACTAGTTAACTAGGTATGCACCTCCTTGCCATGTAAGCGTTCTGTTAGCTGCGCGTTGTATGAAACTCCATGTGTCGCGCCCAAATTCATGCATCATGTCAGACCGTGGTCTATTCTACGATAGGTGAGTTATGACGCTGTCGAACGTCAACTCCACCGAAATGTCACGTTTCGTGTGCGCGTCTAGCTTTACATGGAATACCCCGCGTACATTGTATTGCAGGTATTTGGAATGAAGGTACTGGTAACAAAGAGCTTTCTTTGGGTCGAGATCTTCCATTGGTTGTTGCGAAATAATCGAATCATCGCCGCTCAGAGGAACGAACTTTGTAATCCCATATTCCCCTAAGACCCGTGAAATACCGACCTCAGGCACCGCAAGATCCACTAGGAATGCTTCATGCGTGATGCCATGGTCATCCTGGGCTTGGTGCTGTGTGATAGTATCTGTGGCTGCATCCTATGCTATTTGCCAACTACCTGTTATGCAGGGCCTAGAATATGGGCACACTTAGTGGCATTTAGTTTGGCCTTATGATTTATGTCATCTCACCCACGGCTGCGGGATTGGCGCTGGCTGAGACTCCATTTCTGGCCTGCCGCGTATTGTCTCGTAGTTTGAACTCTAGTGTACTTGGTCAGCAATTTCACGTCAAGGTCTAAGCGTTTATCGATTGGAGGTTCAATCTTCCTGCCCTTTATGCGCAATTTTAAGGAGTTCAAAATATCAGAAATGTTAAATAGCAGCATCTTTCGCCCTCCTTCAAGGATAAAGACACAATTTTCTTTCCAAATTAGACGGGCATTGCTAAAGTTCTATTCTTCATTACATTTATCATGTTTCGAACTCCCATTCTAGGATATCCCCTGAGGGCCATAAGATGGTTCAGGGAAGACATCTATAAGAATAGCCCTGAGAAGCGCAGCGAAGCCGAGGCGGCTATCAAGAAGTTCTATGATTCCAACAAAGACAGCATGGAGAATCGAGGAGTCTCTGAAGCGGTTGTCAAGTAAGTGCTTATAGATGGCGATATTACGGGGAGAGGATAGCCGATAAGGTAGATTGGGTAGGGCGATGATGATAAGTTTCACTAAACCAGTCAGCAAGTTGGTTTTGGGTAGCTGAAGGATGTTGGCGATGCTGCTCTCTGAGAGCGATCTTCTGTTGATTTGTGATGGCCTGACGGGGCATCCTGATTGGCCGGATATAATCAGGATAGTACGATATATATCCTGGGAGGAATGCGATATATTGTTGTAAAGAAGAAGATACGATATTTGTATGGGAAACCGAAATTCTGGCGAAAAAAAATCGCACAAACTAGGATATCGCACTTAAGTCAGGATCGTACTAAACCGGTTTTACTGTATTTTCCGAAACAGATTAGTGTTACCCCGTGCAATCAAAATTAGCGGCAGCCTGGTCTTTCAACTTATCTTGGAACCAATATCCACAGCACAACACATCATGGAAATCTTTCAGTCTTTGACGGCAGAGATGATACAGGAGCTGCTAGTATTCTGAGGCATCGGTGACCGCAGCGATGAGTCTATCAAGCAACACATCTCAGCATTCTTGAGTGCTGTTCGAGCAACTAATTCCACTGACACGCATAGTCCGGGAAAAGGGGCTGCAGGCAGGAATAACAGATCCACCACATCTACTCCCAGAGCTAGTCCGAATACTGAGGCCAAGCGCGATTCTTGTCGACTCCTCCCCGCACCTGAATAGCTCTTAAAAGTGATCGAAGCTCAACTTTCTTTATATCACAGATAGAATTTGGTCGAAATTTGGTCACAATCACGTGTAGCAAAATTATGTGACCATAATGCTGGGCCAATTAAAATATTCAATCTTCTAAATAATCAAAGGGCAATCAGAGCGCTCGAGGGCGTGTAGAAATGATTCTCATGCCTTCTCCTGGGGGATCTTGAGGTATCGGGTACTGCACGTGATCTATGAGTCACATATGCCCACCTGCCTTTAGCGGGCATACGTCATCGCAAAGGCACATATCACTTGATAGCATAGAATTTAGGATGCTGTGACTAGAATTTCTGCTTGGAGGACGCATGAGTTGACTCTTTTGACACGTGAGGTAATAGAATTTACGATGCTGTGACTACTGATGTGTCCTGATTCAGGACCGATTTGTCAGCTAGCTACCCGGCGTTTAGTTGTCTGTGCAACTCAGGATCAGGAACCGCGAGGTTTCGGTCCCACTTGATCGGCGAGGCAGTGGGCATGAAACGAACTTCACAATAGGTTTGACGAAATCAGCACTCGATGTTTGACGGAGGAAGGGGAAGAGAATCACGCAGCTGCTTCACCCAACTGAGATCGCTCACACTAGTCTTTCTGATTGGCAGGCCCTCTGCTTCTCTTGATTTCTCTGTGATTCCTTCTCCCTTTTGGTTTCTGAAGGTACCAGTGGTCAGCTATATATAGTTCATTTGGTCCAATAGGAGGACAGTATGCTTCCATATTCCCCCTGAAGTGACGTCACCCAGACTGAAAGTACGTTGAGTCAAGTCGGACGGCATTTTCCAGTACCCCCGCTCTTCCCACCTTTCCATCTAGCCAATATAGGGTAAAATCTTTTCTCACACCTGTGCCAAGCGCTCACTGATCATTACTAAGCGCTCCGGGAGCGCTCCGGGAGGCGGGGTTAGAAACTCACCATCATTGGTCAAGTCTTTAGGGTCACATGGTCGACCTGGATGGATGCTGACTCATTCGGGTCAGCGAAATCTTGATAATGTCTACTAATCCTTCCGTAAACCTCTTCCTAATCTCATCTTCGCAACCGTGCTGTTTGGATTAAGGACCATAAATTGCCAAAAATATCTCAAGGGATCTCCATGAACATGAGTGCGCCTGTTGCGCAAGTCATAGTTGACAAGATGTTGAGTTCAAGATTCATTGTATGCCACGATCAGGGAGGGTGAGCAGATCACTGAGCACGCCCTGATCAAGCTCTGAGCAAAGGATGAGTGGCTACCACCTTGGTCTGCTCCATTTGCTGGTTCTTGCATCCATTTCCTTAGCTCTCACGCCTCCTCTCGGACGAAATCCATACTCGTCACCAGCACAATTCTCCCCACGGTAGTATTTATACCGGAATGCTTCAGATTAAGTTGACTCTGAATGTAAGTTAGCAACTTCGGCTCGGTCTTTCACTCGCTCACATTGCTACAGATCACCCGCGATAATGAGTCGAATAATCTCAACAATCTCCCGACAGTGTCGGATGATGAGGTTTGTTAATTCTCGAATCGGCCTGTGAGCTATCTAATTCTCTCCTAGATTTTACAGGCACTTTCCTACGTGTGCAAAGTCCAATCATCGCTCTCTCGCGATAAGATCGTCAACCTGTACGAACAAACCGGAAAGATAACCGACTGTCTCGTCAACTATGATATCAAGGACGATGGCTCTTTTCCACAGCAGTCTGCGGCTGGTTTGTATGACACTGCTGGCATAAATGCTAGCTCTTTTGCACCTCGTTTCATAAGTAATGTTCACTGAATTCCGCCCATCAAGGTCTTCATTGCTAACATCTCTTGCTTTTATCAGATCCCTCCCTGTTAACTTTGGACAACGGCACGCGAGACCATACTAAAACACCATCATATCTTACACCCGATTCAGATCGATTCCACACCCCCTGCACAGTTAGGCACGAGAGACCTGTTGAGTGAATCACCATCGTCGCTATATAATGAGGAGACTCAAGGGCACCGCGCCCCAGGCGCCTTAGACGAGCACGAACATCCGCAGGTCGAAAAATCCGGCGTAAGGTCAACAACGCACGGCTCATCTCAATGTGATGAAAATAAATTTGAAGCCGCCCTTCGAGAAATTGAGGAGATGGAATCATCCCTGCGCCATTCGCCCCATGTTCTTCCAGGATCCCCCGATCGTATGAACGACCCCCAAGCCTCTATAAGCTCTCCAGTTGGAGAAACCGACAAAGGACTGGAAAGAGCAGACCTCGACGAAGCTGGCTCCTCAACCAGTCAACCAAACAGGCAGATCTCCGACCGCGACGATGTTGACGGAAGGAATCACGACATATCACATGGGGTTTTCCATCATGTTACTTCGGTTAGCAATATCCAGGAACATCGTCATGAGGTGGAAACAACAGATACCGACGAAGACACACATCGAGATAGCCCAGATACCTCCATTCGTTATGACAACCCTCTCCCAGTCTCAGAGAACCCCATAGGTGGTCCGAGATCGGACCTAGGCGATTCATATTCCACCACCCAAACAAGCATCCTCGGTTTACCAACGACGTCAGTGGTAGCAGGGAGAAGCGTGGCTCCATGTGATTGGACGCCAGATGGAAATTATTCTGCTGGTCAAACTCCCAGAAATTGCCAAGGCACACGGTATATATCGAAACTGACAACCGTTGAAGATGGCACTGATGAAGACAAATGCAGTGATACTGCGGAGTCATTCATCATTGATGATAAATTCGGGGATTCAGACATCGAGGCCGTCTTGGACGACGCACATAAATTACTGGAGGACACTTCTACCGATCGCGAGGGCTACCCTCGTGGGACAGATGTATCTCAAGTGCCGCTTACACCCGCGAGCCTCCAAGCCAACTGCAAGCGAAAGCTTTCATCTGCCGTTGATTCTGAAACTGACCATTCCTCGAGGAACCTTAGGCCTCGTCTTGAGGATGAGAATGGTCAATTTTCTTCGAAACCTCTGTCAATGGTTGAAGATGCCGCCAACTATGATGAATGTGAGGAACCCGAAGACTTATCTGCCGATGATGATAGTCTCGGGGATACGGAGACACAATCCACCTCGAAACATACACATTGGCCTGGGCAGAATACACTCAGACTTGAATTTATTTCAGAGAATCCCGCAAAGGACATTGAAGCGTTGATCCAAGCTGCCGACGTTGATGAAGATGATCACATCAGAGAAAGTTCTCGCAGGATTTCCATTTCTGCAGGTTCTGGTCGGTCTTCCGAATCTATGTCGAGGTCTGTCGAGTATTCTAGCAACATTGATAGTGATACAGGAAGTAGTCGCAAACGCAGACACGCTGCCGTTTCCCTTGAGGAAGACGATGCGTCGCGGTACAGCCCGATTCTTTCCCCAAGAGCCGTTTCTGATGATGGTCAAACAGAGGCAGCAGCTCAACCTCCATTAGCACCCACAGAGGACGTCAGAGAAGAGATGGATGCTCGGAGCCTGTTTTCTCAATGCACTTCTAGGCTGGAAAGTCCTTCATCTGGGAAATTTGAGGAATCTGAACAGTCTGATGAAGAAATTGAAGGATGTGAATCGAGCAAGTCCGATATCTTGCAATCATTATTTTCCCGATTTACTTCGCAACAGCTGTCCGAAGTTCAGCGCATTGGCGATCGCCTTCATTCGATCGATCTCGCTGCCTTGCTAGGAAAATACTCTTCCACCTGGAAGGTATCTGGTTTCTGGGACGGCCCTTCCTGGAATCACTCAAGCTCCTCGAATGCGGCTCAAATGCCTAATCCTGCCGATTTTATGACCTATATGATGCGCATGCACAAAGAGAAGGATATTTATGATGTAAAGATACGTCTTGGTCGATGTTCTCTGTTTCTGTTGTTTATCAAAGAAATAGAGCGTGAACGACAACGGGGCACAGCGGAGACTGCTGTGAAGAGAAATGCCGTCAGCACGCTGTGTGACTCGAGAGGCATGACAACGGCCGAGAAAAGAACGCTCCACAAAACATTCCACAATGACAAGAAAATCGGTGAGTATTGGTGGTGGTGTGTGTACTACTTCGGCCCCAGCTTCCTCATTCGGTGCAGTAAAGAAGCTGGCAAAAAAATGTGAGAAATTTCTCAGTAAAGTACTATTCATCTCAACTCACATGCCTATAGAAACAATTTCCGTTTCCCGTTGGATGCTATGATTGCATACGCCCTACAGGGGGGACTCCCCTGCCGCGAAGCCTTATCCAGCCCTCGACGAGGCTGTGGTTCATCTGCTGATAACGGGCACGTTCTCCGAAGAGTTCTCACGACAGAACGTCAAAGAGTGGGAGAAGTCCCCGGCCGCAGAATCAGCTACGCTTAAGAGGTGGCGACCTTTTAGTACTGAAGTGGTCACTGAGGAGGCTCTTGCAGACCTAAAAGAATGGCAGGCTAACCCCGCAAATCGCTTGCTAAAATTTGAGTCTTAAAAACGTAGCTCTCTATTTCACTAGGCCGTTCCGGCGAAACGCTTGAGTTTCGTGATGCTTTGTTTTGTACTAATGTGTTCTCAGTTGCTTAAGTATATATGTTTCAATATGATCCCATTCTTACTTTTTTCACGTCTTCCTCGGCTAAAGTGTCGTTATCGGGTTATTCAAATCAGAGCAGTGAAAATAGGTCATATAATATGACTAGCATGGTAGCCTTCGAAGTGTTAGGTGAGGTTATAAACTAGGGGGCGATGAGTTTTCTGACTGTCCGGATAATGCTTCCGGAACGTGGCGAGCATGGAACCGCACGCTGTGTAAGTGTAGAACACCAAGTTACATGAATACCATAGAGCCATTAGCCTGCTTTAACCATAGGTTCCACCTTGAATGGAGGCTGCCACACAATTTGAGTGTCAGCTTCACTCGCAGAATGGCACGGGAGAATCGTCCTGAATCAGGACGGATTACATAACGTTCAATCTGGTGGTCGGTCAATAATTCTTCCGCGATAAGCTGGTGGAATGCAGGCTTGGGGGGTTTTATCACGTCATTCCCCTGGTATAGTCACGTGCCTTTTTAGGTGTGTTACTGGACTTCTAGCTCTTTATAAAAATTTCTTTGTCAATTTTGGCTTACCTAAATACGTCCTGATTCAGGACCACTTCAGCTGCGATCACTAATCTACACCGAAAATCCGAGGTTTCTGCTTTATACTCGGCGAGGTTCTTACCATTGGAGACTATTATTAGTATGGCCTTGGGAGCTATACCTCACCATTTTTCACATGATATGCTTATCGAGAGCGAAAATGGGATGTATACGTATTATTTAAATAATATATCAGGCTATTATGATTCGAACATATATATATTTTTTTTATTTTTTTTACTGTCAATATAATGAATATGTTTTTACGGAGATCGGAAGTCGAATACCTTTATTTCGATTTGCAGTCGAAACGCAGAGCCGTCTGCTCAAACTCCCAAGCTGTTCAGTTTTGTCTTTCACTAACCTACTGTACAGACGGACGGATGGATGGATGGATCGATGATATCATTTACCCCGACCTCTCGCTTTTCTTACTGTACAGTACCACAATTTGCTGCCGAGACAGACCAATGTGCATGCGGACAAGCAAGAGAGACGGTGGATCACTTTTTGTTTCGGTGTCGGAAGTGGACCGCGCACCGGACGGAAATGCCGCAATGCACCCACACTCACCGAAGTAACATATCCTTCTTCTTGGGAGGGAAGTCACCCTCCGACGATCAAAAGTGGAAGCCGAATTTGGAAGCAGTGCGAGCCTCAATACGGTTCGCGATCGCTACGGGCCGGCTTGAAGCCACTTAACCTTGCCGACGAACGCAGATAGAACACCTTCCCCTACTAACCCCAACACCTTGTGACAGACGGTAGACGCGCTTCAACTGCCGAGCATAGGATGTTGAACACTTGAAAAAGCGCCTTCAAGCCAGTCTACCCACCAATACTAATCCACAGGAACCAGCTATGAGATTGAAATCTGAAACGGGAAATACGGAAGGAATTACTGTATGGGCTCCAAGGAGTCACGGCGTATACCCAAACATGCATGTACTGGTAGTTTAGTGATAGTTGCCCTCTCGGCTCAGCCGCCGGGCGTTAATGAAGTGTGTGTGTGTGTGTGTAAACTCTGGACATACATATTGATACTTGATCAATCTAGTGAGCGAAAGGGAACTAGCTTTAGCAAATCGGTAGTAACTCGCCCGATATAACGACAACTCTATAACTATAGGCTACCGCTGTTGAGATACCAAGTTGTAATTTATCGCATTCAATATGTGTTTCGAGTGGCCGGGCCGTATGTGAAATACTTTACTAGATGTTACTACGCGAACATAGTTGTAAACCTTCGTCAGGCTATACAGGCAACGCGCATAGAACTTATGTTCTGAGCCCGTTCTCCCGAGAAGACAAAACATTATTCGTTCATCCATTCTTCCTGGGTTGCTCGGAAATATGATAGGTCAAACCGTGCTGCAGAGCGTTGCACGACGAAATACGGGGGCACGCCCCATCAGCAATTCAAGATGTCGGGAATCGGGATGAGGGGCTCGTTCCGATTGGCAGTAGAGTATAAGGCGGTATAGAATTTGGTGGCATGACATTGGATGTGGCCCCAGACCGTTCCTCTTGCCTGGGATTTTTCTTGACCCCCTTACCTACCTAACTAACTAGTACTTAAGTAGTTAGGTAAGTAGTCAGCAGAAGAGTGGTCGAATTTTTCTTGATCCCTCAAAGCAAACGTTGTCACTGTATCGACACTGGTACCCATACACAAAAGCAGACAATCATTGAGTATCACAGCTCAGTCCTAGCCTTTTCTTTTCTGATCCTTGTACACGAATAAATTTCTCCCCTTTCCAAACAATCTTGGGTTTTTTCCTCCCGGCAACTCATCGTATTGTTTGTTCCTCACCTTTGCTCGATCAGCAGCTACGAGACCATGCCACAAACTCTAAGACCGCTCGACTACGGGTGCACGGATTGGCGGATCAGTAGCCAAAGAGTCGCAGATCTGTACAGTTCTGGTACCAGGCTTTGGACGAAAGAAGATCTCGAAGACATAGAACAACAATTGCGCCAATCCTATGCAATGGAGCGATTTTCAGTCCGTCGAATCGATGGAAGCATAATCCAAATTTCCAATCCCATGTTCCAAGTACAGAATCCTATCTGGTACGTGGGTATGGTCTTCTGACCCAATTTGAGCCTGAAATCTAAGTTTTCCTTAGGAAACCCCATGTCAAGTACCAAGAATATTGGCAACTTGTGAAAGCACAACCCAACGGCCCACATGAAACTTACCTGTGCTCTTACATTGTGGATTGGAGCAATCAGACTGCACGAAACTTCCGAGAGCTTATAGCACAGCCTATGCAAGTCTTTGACGAGAAACACATGTTGTGGCAGAATAGCAAAACCTGCAAGCACTTGGCAGCCTTGGTCCAAGATATACTCGGTAAAAACACTGTGAAGAAAGTTCTCTGCTTCGGGCTCGGTGATTTTTGCCGCTCCGCGCCTGAATGGCTAAAAAGGCAGCACGGCTCTTGGGATGAGAACTCTGAGGTGAAAAATGTTATGGGTTGCATGATCCAGCATTCGATGGCTCTCACTATCGCTCAACTTTGTCGTGGCAATAAAACATTGCCATTACTTGCTCAGGACCCAGATTATACAGAGGTCGCGGAAGAGATCCTGATCAAGAAGGAATTCAAAATTGTTGGAACTCACGGTGCAGGAGGATTCGCGGAAATTGACGAGGAATCGATCATAATATCACCCTTTGCTGCCGCCCCAGTGAAGCAGATTATCGCCGACCTTGCTCGGCCTGTGCTCATTATTTCCACCGGCTTTGAAGTCTTCAATGGCAATGAGTAAGTTCGCTTTTATCGATCCTCGGATTTGTCTAACCATTGCACTTCACAGAAAACCATTGGCAGATGCTGAATCTCCGAGAACAAGGCAAATGTGGCTGGATTATGATGCCTATAGCCTTCCAAGCCATTCTGATGACGTTGAAATATGCTCTGCACTGAAAGGACTACATTTGTATTGTAGACGCCAGCAACCTCTGGATTCGCAAGGAGCCTAAGTTCACGTAATTTTATATCTAGTGACGGTGGATCACAAACGATCGCAAATATGAGATGAATTTCAGAACAGGAATCTTATGTATATGTATAATTCCTGCTACTTGGTCTCTCCCATCTCTTATGCGCTGCGGTAGATTTCGTAAACCGTTTCAGGAGAGCCCGCGGAGTCATTATTCAGGAGAATTTTTACGACTGGCTGTCGGTCAAGCAGCTTCAGTGACAGTTCAAAAATTGCAGCTATTCACCCTCCCGCCTCCGACCATTCAGTCCTTTTTCTTGGAGCAATTGCAGCAAGAAGGACAAGCCCCACAATCTCCATGGACCATGCCCTTCTCCTGTCCGCAGGTGCAACATTTGATCGCGTCCACGGGATGGGTTATGTCGGATTCGGAAGTCATGATGGAGGCGGGGACTATACATGTATTAGTTGGGAGACCACCGATCTGCAATAGAGGGCACGTGTACTGTACTTGTAAGGACTCTGGCAATTAGGTATACGCTTGAGAGAAGCGGTTCAGAGAAGTGGTTTTCAACGATCAAGGTTTGAGAATCCAAATCCAATAGAGACCGTGCAGAGTAGGTAGTCTGTTGACCAGATATTATAGGAAACAAAGCCACGAGAGTGATTCTTGAGAAATTCAAGAGACAATCGTTACTTTCGCACTCTCTTTATACAACAAGAAAGTGGGGTAATAGACATGACAGGTCACCTGGGCATAACATCAGGCGAGTTCATTATATTAAGTGTAGTGTTGTGAGCATCAGATTGTTTCTGACGGGTCTATAATGCATATGGGATTACTGAGGCTGCCTCCCTGTAAACTCGAGGGTGACGGCCCCTACATTTGGCGCTAATTATGGCTCACGAGCACCAATCAATCGATATTACTGAGTGGCTTTGTTGATCATTAGGCTTCGGCGAAACCCAATCTGGGTCCAAGGCCCCTATCCGTGCGCTGTGGATGCGAAAAGCATGGATCAGCCCCACCGACGGCGTTTCCTCCTTGTTCAGAGCATCTGTGAAGATGAATGGCAGCGTGCATGCGGCTGAGTGCGTCGAATCTCGTCAGTTGAAGAGGGGAACCCTGTCATTTACCAGGTCAGTGAGGTTCTTAACCTACTATGTATCACACTAGCTGACGGGGTTTCCAGCTTGCAGTTGAAAGTCCGTGGAGGAATCTGACTTAGAACTCTCCTTAGCGCTGTGATAATTTATGCACTAGCCTATTTCCATCCGTTTCTGGAAGACCATCATCAGGGCTTGAAAACGCAGCAAACATGCGGTTGAGTGCATCAAAATCTGCTTAGTTGAAGAGGGGTACCCTGTCACTGGCTGTCATTTACTGGGTCTGTGCAGAGAATTCGAAGGGAGAAAAGGACGGATAGATGCGTCGCATTTTACGGACAGGGGGTCCTCGGGCAAAATACCTAACTTTCGAGCAACATTGACCAGAGCGGGTACATGGCGGGCGTCCAATAGATGGAGTTGCATACGACCCGGACGGCTGCACCGTGAAGGCATAAGCACATGAGGCCTTTGTTCTAGGTATTTTTTCAGAGGCAGCCTCAAAGTATAAAATGTGAGCAATTGGCTCTCGTACTTCTTTGCTGCATTTTAATAAGTGACGATAGTCTTGAATTTCTCTTATGTGACACAGACGTATCCTTTGTTGTAGACTTTCGCACGCTACTCTATATTCTGGTCTTATTGTTGAACGTGTCCATGCGAAAGTAAGACTTCCATACTGCGTTCCGGGGCTCGGAAGAGGTAGAATGAAACTGCCGCCTTTCTTAGGCTTATTGTAGCAATCTGGAGCTATGGAGCATGTAAGTAGCATATGATGATGGACTAGTCAAAGGCACGTACCGTCACAATCTGAGTCTGCAGGTTAGTTTTTATACAGGCAAGGATTGTCAAGCCTAATAAAACGAGAAGTAGGCCCATTGAACCAATGGAAGCTCCCCACAAGGCTCGTTGGTGCTTGGCAGTTTTGAGGTCCGGACTTCGCCAAAACAATTTGAAAATACTTGTTTGCATATGCCATGGCCTCAAGCAAATGACCCAGGCTCGAATGATTTGGGCATGGACGAAGCTGAGACTAGCCAAGCTGATGACCATATATGAAGAAAACAAAGCATTGTGGTGCTCCTGCATTTTTGGTCAATTAAGCACGCAGGGTAGGAATTATCAGTCGAATCGCACCGGAAAATACAATGAAAGTGATAGAATAGTAATTGTTCCCATCAATAATAAGGCAGATATTGTATGGGTTAACGAGGATTGCAAAGTAGAAACACTTAGGTACTGGAGAGGTCAGTGTCACTCTCTTTCAGATTCAATGCACTTACCTCATTTAAAATGAGGAGAAGAAATACACTGCCAATTTCCTGCTGTAGTATTGGCCAAGATGGGCCTGGAATAGAGTTAGGTACGATAGGAATTGAGAAAAGGGAGATTGGATTTTTACCCTTCGTCCACTTCAATTCAAACAATACGAGCGGAATAGATCCGATCAGCCCCAAAAAGGCGGCACTGCCTATAATAAGTTGGCTGGAGATGAGAAATTCTCTGCTCAATCTTGGTAGGCTGAAGGCTTTGATAGACAGGAGCCAAACAAGAAGACTCGTTCCACAACAGAAAGATGCTGTTGCGGATGTAGCCAGTTGGAAAATCACCTCGAAAGACATCTTTTCCTGAATTTTTGATATTTGCGTTGTTTCGAAGGAAAAACCATACCTTTCTTTTCCTGCCTGGCTTAAGTAGGGATTTATACATTTGCTAGGCTTGCATTAATCACTTTGGCTCTGTCTTATTTGATTCAAGAGCCACCGAGGAGGAACAGGACAATGGGGTGGGTTACATGTTGCGGAGAAGGAAATTTTGGGGCAAAATGCCTAGCCTTCGAGGAAACTTGACTGGAGCGGCATACAAGATCCGCATAGCATTCTAGCTCATGCTCATGATGCATGCAGCCCTTGTCTCGGTCATTTTGCCATGATTTTGGAGGAGTTCTGGCCATCAATTTCGGTCGTATTGCGAACTATCCTCTTTTACCGGATACCGCATTGTTGTTAGACTGCCGACATCCGCATTTCCTACTCTTGCAGGCTTATGTATATCAGAGCAGATAGAAACATTGACATCGAATGAAATGTCTCGCAGAGACATCTGACGGCTGATTTATGACTTAGCATTCTCTGGTTCAAGATGAAGCGCGAAGTATGGATGCCTAACTTGGGGCAGTAACGGGCAGTATCGGGCAGTCTTAGTAATCATGTCGTCTTCGACACTTTCTGCCCCTCAGTCAAGCCCAAACGACCAACGTCCTGATATTCTCGCCGCGGCCAGCCGACGACATTAATTTTAACGACATCTCACAATTACTAGCGACAATCCATACGTTTTTAGTGAACGCAGCCGGTCACCTTTATCCCCGAAGAACGCACGTTTCGACATTCGATCGTTTTGGGCAACCGCGCGGTGCACTAGTCTTGGTGCCCTGATTCTATCGAATGGCAAATGAAGCGAAGGTGACAAAGTCCGACTTGGTATGGCACATGTCCTTGTGTTTATGATACTCTTTCTGACCTGAGCAGGCGAGCCGCTGGCAAGATTTCACCACCGCCACATTTCAAGAGTCGGATAAGAGAGCCGCTCACCAGATCGATGCGTCCCTGACCGAAGAACAATTTTTTGCATGCGAATCTTGCGAGGAGATACTGTTTCAGGATGGGGATGGCTCGACCCTATTTCGAGCAGAGGGGAGTGGAGAGATGAAGCTACCACCAGGCATACGGGTCAGGGCGAAGGGGGTTCGGCGAAATCACGACCGGTAGATTGAATTTACGAAATTGTAACATGATGTCCAGCCAACCGTCAAACTGATCATCATGAGTTGTGCTGGATATATATCTGCCTTCACACACCTAGTCTCAATCTCCCCGGTTTCCTGACTCCAGGCTTGACTGCTTGTAATAGCTTCGAAAACATCATCTCCGAACGCCACAGCTATCTGATTCTTCACAGCGCAACCGACGGAAAACCGCTCTGCTCTAAGTCAGTACTAGCCAAGTGCGATCTGGAAGTCACTTACCAGCAGCCATTGTGTCGCTCTCTGCACAGCCGAATAGATTTTGAAGGAGGCTCTGATCAAACATAATCATTACTCTGATTAATCCATCCGTAGATCCCTCGGATGGGAGAAAAGTTGTGACGTAGCCGCGGACAGCTTTAATAAGCAACCGAGGGAATGCAGTCTGCATAGACTCCGGCTTGATGATCGTAGTATAGCACCAGGACGGTCCTCCGCAGAGAGAGTATTGAAGACTTGGGCGTATAGTGCCATTAACGATTCGTCTCAGACTGATATGATCTATGACCACGTTAGCTATGTGTTGCAAGATACGGACGATAGAACTTGCTTTTTAGAAAATCTTCGTCGGCCGATGAGCTCAGGACTACCTTGTTTATTTCATCACTCTTGGCGATAATCTTCACAGTTGTTTGAGAAGCGATCACAGCTTGTTCGAGCAAGATATCGAAGAGTTCTTTCCGCATAACCTCGATGGCTTTTTGGGTAAGACTAAGCCCACAAATGATCAAAGACACAGAGTCCAATTCCCTAAGAGCTGCCAGTTTCGGTTCGTGCTGCTTATCAGGCCTAAACACCAAATTCAGTAAATGAGATAGTCTCCCCAATGCAACACGACTGAAAGAGGTCTCCTTCGCAGGCAACAATAGTTTCGCAGCCTCCGTTTTCAGCAGCTGCTGCTTCAGAGATGTTAAAGTTGTCTCCAAATCTTCGGGGGCCAAAGCCTGAGGATCAAAGTCGTCCAAGGAGCTGATCATTCGAATGTAGGTATCCATGATATGCGAGGATTTGCTGCTGAAGACTGTTGGGGAAAAAGGACTGATCACTGGGAGGTACACCTAGTCGGGGTTATGTGGGCAAATTGCCCAGCTTTTAAGTCACTTTGGACCAGAGCGGGGTACTCAGCTGCTCCCAGTCAACAGGGGTGTGGATCCTGCAATGCAAGGCCACTGCATGGAGATGGGGCCAGAACTTGTGATGGGGCGCGTGTCTCGGGCATTTTGCCTCCCTTTTCAGGATATTTTGACATTGGTTTGATCTTACACCTCCTTCACACCGCAAGATTTGCGGGGACAGCACCTCGTTAGAGGCAACACTATCCGGATTCGAGATTGTGACTGTGATAGACCTTTCCCAAGATAGTTGGTGCAGCCATACGCACGTTGTTTTTTGTGAGAATGATGAATGAACGAGGGGCCAGGCGGTCGAGATTGGCGCTGTTGCATGTACAAGGTCTGTATAAGAGCCATTCAGTCTTCCCTGATCCCCAACATATAAAGGAACCCGATACTGTCGAGTAACTTTGAGTTGAATATTTCGCAATCATCTTCTCAAGAAACGTTATAGCTGCACCTATATAATCATTCTCGGAAACCTTTGTCATTCTTTACAATGAACACCATCAACGGTGGTTCCTACCACAGCTCCTCCCAAATGTCTCCGATAGATATCATCTTTCCCGGTTTCAGTATGGTCTCTGCCTCCGCACGCCAGCTGCTTGCTGGCGACCCGGACAGCTACACACGACTTCTTTGTACTTTCGGGATTTTTATCCTCTTCGCCCGCTATGCAGTCCGCTATGTTTGGGAGATAGTGAGAAGTTACTTCAGTTCGTATACCTCCTGTCATTGTCGGATGGGACTGACAATTTGAAGCATCGACAATTTATGTCTCATATTACGACGAAGCATACGATATGCTAGTTGATTGGATAGCTGACCAACCATTTGTCCACAATGCCCACTCATTGATTGCTCGCGTAAGATCTCCACAGCGGGCAAACAACCAATGTTCGACAAAGAAAAAGCCGTTGACCTTTTCTCCTTGGGATGGATCTTTTTTGTTTTGGTATAAAGGGCATTTGCTTGTCCTTCACTGCGCGGTCAAAGAGCATCGAGAAGATCTCTATATCTCTTCCATTGGTCTTAATGCAAATATTCTGAAGGATCTCATCGAAGAGTGTCGCGAGAAGTATCTCAAGGATACGCAGAGAAAAGTCTCTGTCTTTGAACACCGCGAGGGAGAGTGGAAGAAAGCCAGAGTGAGACCGGTCCGACCCATCTCCACAGTCATCATGGATAAGCAGGTAAAGGACGATGTTTTAAGAGACGTGGACGAGTTTCTCGACCAAGAGATGCAAGACTGGTACGCAGAACGTGGCATTCCGTATAAACGAGGTTACCTTCTGTTTGGACCCCCTGGAACTGGAAAATCCAGCTTCAGTCTATCACTCGCGGGGAAGCACGAACTGGATATTTATACGCTTCAATTATCGAATATTTCGGACAGCAAGCTCATGAAGCTATTTGCTGAGCTTCCGCCGCGCTGTATTGTTCTCTTAGAGGACGTCGATACCGCTGGGGTGGGACGCAGGGACAGCGTTGACGCAGACCAAGAAACCGAGTCAAAGTCAGCAGTCACCCTATCCGGCCTTTTGAATGTGCTTGACGGTGTCTCATCTCAAGAAGGCCGGATACTAATCATGACGACCAATCATATTGAACATCTGGACGAAGCACTTATTCGGCCTGGGCGCTCAGACAAGAAAGTACATTTCAAGCTTGCCGATCAGAACATCTCGACTCAGCTCTTCCACACGGTCTTCAAGCAGTCGCCGAACCAAAAGCAATGCAATGAGGAATATGATGACAAGACGATCGAGGGGCTTGCTCGTGACTTCGCCAGCAAGATGCCGGAGCAAGTATTCAGCCCAGCAGAAGTCCTATCGTTCCTTTTGGAGCGAAAGAAGTCACCTTCAGATGCTGTCTCTTGCGTGGAGAGCTGGGTGACGAAAGCAAGGTATTGAGGAGAAGGAGGAGAAGGAGGGGCCGGAACAACTGAAACGTGAAACGCTTAGGGAGAAGAGCGGTCGAGAAAGTCGTAGCAAGGAAAATATGTTTGACGTCGCCAAATAATTAGTCTTTTCAGAGCTTTCATCACATATATTCAGAATACCTTCCACAATTGGCGCAAATTGTTTTTATGACCAGTAACAGAAAGTGCGATCACTTATCAAAACTTCCTTCCGACTCATTATCGGAAGCCGAGAACATGAATCGCCTCAAATGAGTTCTGGCCGTGGGCCTGGGGCGTCATGTGCAAACAGCGGTTGAGCTGGACAAGAACTTTTGCCCGGATTTTCCCACCTTCGCGCGATGACCATGCCGTGCATTCCCAGAAGTTGGTGCAAGGGTACGAGGGCGCTTCAACCATTTCATGTCCTCCAAGTCAATAACAATCAGACGGCTACCTAGGTCATCCCACAACATATTGCGCCACTCACTGTCGCCATGAACCACTCCATGCGACTGGAGCACGGTCAGAGCCTTGTCGCGCTCCTGTTGAAAGAATCCAAAATTCTCATCGTTGATGATATGCTGAAGCCGGGTTCCAGACCAGCTCAGTAGTATCATCTGCGCCATTAATTTGCCATGGTACCAATACGCAACGCGGGGTGTAAAGGCCCCAAGGCAGACGGGGATCTGGTGTCCCTGCAAGCTCCTGAGGTAGCGATAATTGTCCACTTCCGCTTGAAGGAGATGCTGCTTCTCCATCGTGGTAGCCTTAATGATCACAGTGTATCCGTGTAATAGAAGAGTAGCTTTGATGAGGTAACCCGTCCGACCACAGACATGGAGTTGTTCAAACCCGTGGTTTCGGCTTCGGACAAGTTGACGGTGAAGCTGACGTGTGAACTCCTGCGGTCCCATGGAGTGTCTCTGGCCACCGTGGAGTTTCCAGTTAGGGCATTCTTTATCCAGAGGGCCTCGGTTGACTATGCCGCGGATGCAGGAAATTGTGCAGTAGGGTCGTGTGGACTGCCCGTCTTTCCGAGAGGTCTGTTTGTTGTCCCGACCGGCTCCTGTGCTTTCGCTTTCCTTAGTTGATTTGTGCTTGTTGCCTCGGCCCCGGCTCGACCGGCTGCGCGCCGCTGCTGCGATGGATGGGGAATGCGATTCTGCATCACTGCCGCTGCCTTCAGTCGAAGAATGCTTCGGAGTAGACATGTTTGGTTGGCAACGAGCACGGGATCGTGTATTGTGTGTCTTCGGCTCTAGTTTCCAGTGCGAGGGTCGATAATTGGAGGCTGGGGGGTCTTTACGGAGCGTTTCTGGGATTTTTCTCAGCACGTCCAGGTATTCGACCTTCCAGGTCTTTAGCTCATCGCGTGCCGTATCATGCCACTCTTGAGACGGAGCTTCGGCGGCTAGCGCTTGAAGGGTGAATGCAAGCACCTGACCGATGGCGGTCCGGTGGAGGCGCCATTCATCGTCCGCCTGCACGTCCTGATTCGGGATACACAAGAAATATTGAGCAACTGTGGGATCATCCTTCGGGATATGGAGAAAAACAAAAGCCTCCCCTGTACAGATGTAACCGTATTGAACCCCACTGTCGATCATATATGAGAATATTTGAGTGACCACAGCGGCGACGAGGCAGGTGGCATAAAACTCAAACGTGTCACCTTCCTGGTCTATGATATCGCGAGCCAGATCTATCTGATGTAAACCCGCCACCAGCTCAGGGACTGTCACCTTGTGCGGCGCTTTGAACTCCACCGCATACACTGGGAGTTGTCGTTCGTCGGCCACAAGGTGCACGCAGAACTGGTCTGCACGACGATTGCGTCTTCGTGCAGTGCCATCCCTCTTCTTTCCCTGTGCCGCTCCTCTTCCCCTTCCTCTGCCTCTCCCAGGTCTAGTGTTCGCGAGTCGTTGGGGCGTTCGCACGTCCTGGAGATTCATTTGCTCCAAGCTGTCCTTCAGCGAAGTTTCCGATGGGTTCGCGCGGTCGTAAAAGGTGACCTGGCCCTGGATTCCAAGCTCACGTCGAAAGACTTCATCATCTCGCAACGCCTTGATAATCAATTCAACAAAATTATCCACCGTGTCTCGCTCAAAATTTCGAAGGGACGCTTCCGAATAAATCGGCCTGTTCTGGATATTCGTAACGACATAATCTATTTGGGTATCAGAAGGGAAGAGGGGGCGCGAGGTAAAGGCAGCCGTGCGGTCGAATTTCCTCCAAACTTGCTCCTGGAGCTGGGGGAAGTCAAGCCAAGGGATTATGCGCTTGGGGTAAAGTCGGTTCACTGGGTCGGTCGCGTCGCCCTGAGTCGTGAGGGTCGCATCCGTCTCGATTCGGATCGCTTGAGACAGAGAGTCATGGCAGCGATCGAGAAGGCGAAATAGGGTGTTGGGTTGGAGACGCCGTTCTGCTTCTTCTCGCGCCCGTCTCTCTTCCTCCTCACGGCGCTCTGCTTCTTCTCGTGCCTGTCTCTCTTCCTCTCGTGCCTGTCTCTCCTCCTCAAGCTGACGTCGTAGCTCGGCGATTGTTTCTTCCATCGCTTGTTGAAATCAGTATTCAGCAAATAATCGAAGGATGCAAATCGAAGTCAACATGGTAGGGGGTTCGCTGTCTGGCGCGGGGGAGTGGCCCGTCAGGGCGGAATGCGTCCAGATGTTTACCAGCTTACTCACCCCCTAGGCTCGAGTCAATTTCACGCCTCAGGCACCAAGGCATCAACACACTTGGCCATGATACGCTAGCGACCAGTGTCCTTTGTTTCCGGAATATACGTCGATTTGATGGTTTCGGGTTACTAGACTGGCCTCGTCAGTAAATAGGTAAATTCAGTCCAACTTCATATTCCTCAGCAAGGACCGTGGCGAGGTCATTAGCTCGATTACATCACTCACGAGACCACCGTTTCCGTTCTTCAATTAAAGCCTCCTGCTGTGAAGGATATATTGTGTGATCTCCTGTGAGTAAGGCATTCGACAAAGCTTGTAATCAGCGAAAGTTCTTCTGATATAGAACGAATGGGCTAACCTTTCTCAATCCGTCTGTTCTGCGGAACACGGTTCTGTATGCCCTAATTTTGGGGATTAGACGTCACGCAGTCAATCGCCATATGGACCTCATGGAAAGCAAAGAGACGTACCTTTCCTATCTGGGCATGTGAATCTCTCGTCAAGAATAGTCTCTATGGGCGAGACAAGTTGAACTGCCTTCACTGCCAGGAGAGCCGACGTCTGACGAGGTCTTTATACGTGCGAGGCTTGCTTGATGACTGAATCATCCGTTTTGAGCAGACATTGATGGAAAAATGGATGGGTAGAATCAAGCATCCCCGCAGAAAAAAAAGTTGGGCCCCGATGGGATAATCGCCCACATCAGAAAAAGTGCGGTCTAAAACGTATTTTGAACGGAGATATGTCTCATCTGGCAGATCAGCCCATCTCCTCAGCTTTCCCATGATCCGTCAACCCTGAAAAAATTGAGGTAACTAGCGTCTCATCATATGCCTCAACATTTCCTTGATGCGTTGACTATCTCGTTCTGCTGTTGACTACCGTTCACTAGATGCCCATGATAGTTTCGCTATGGCCTTATTCAGTTTACGACCATTGCCTTTTTTTCCGATGAATTCACGGAACTGTATCCTTCCTTGAGCAGAAGGAGACGCCGGTCTAGAACTTGGCCTGAGTGTCCTATTTCGGGAACAAGCTAGAATGCATGATTGGCCCTTACTTATATCTCCACTTCCAGGTGGCACTGTCCCCGGGCCAATTGCACCTATTTCAAATATGCGACCCATGTCAATGCCCAGCTACTGGAGGCCTTTCCTCTCTCATAGTTATTGATTAGCTCCGAGTCATTCGGTACTTGGATGTCCATGCTTCATAAATCCCCTTTTGGCGCAAACTGGCGACTGATGCAAAAGGTATTGTTCTTTCCGGTGAGCAGCTCGAATGAGCTCCTCGAATGGTCTTATCGCCCGGACCGCCCGAACTGCCACTTTCCACATTAGACAGGATTTTTCTCCCTTTCGATCTTCAAACAGCTCCCAATCAAGGCGTACATTCGAATCATCCCCAGGGCGCGATACTCCCATAAGATTGAGGGTCCCAGTGACTGTAGAATAATCCAACCAAAGGTTCTCCTTTGGTCCAGGGATACCATACGTGTCGTTGCAGCGCCCCGAATAGCGAATCATTCCAGAAAAATTTCCTAGGAAATCCCCTTCCTGGACTGCAATGATGGAGCAAACCGAAAAGAAAGCCTTCTCTTTGGGTAATATGGTAACAAAAATGGACTTGTTTCTCATTGTATCTGACCCCGGACGCAAGTCAAAATACCCACCAAGCTGTGCGGTGGACGGCTCATGCGGCCCACTGAATTGAAAAGCGATTGCCTCTTGATAAGAAAACCAGGGGTTGCCTGCATTGTTCCATGCAGCCATTGGAATATTTAGTCTCTCTGCCACATGCGGCTGAGTCAAACACAGTCTTCCACCGAAGTCACCCATACTCTCCTGGGTCACCCGACTTTCTAGCTGCTTGATTTGCATACCGTACTTGTCTTCCCAACGCCGAACTTTCTCTGAGAGGGGCATCTCTGCTTCTGACGGATAAGACTTGCAAAAGCGATCGAACTCTTTGGTCCGATACAAAAGAATCTTTTCAACGCCGGTCCTACGCATTTCCCATAGTCTCTTCCAGAAAATGCGGCACTGCCGCTGATTAGCAAGGCTGAGTCCATAACCAGCTTCTCTCATGAAACCCTCGGTTGCAACCTTCTCCGCCATTGTGAACTCATCGAGAGGCCCTTTAGGAATTGGAAGACTTTTCGGATCAAGGAGATCTGCGCCTTTCTTGATGACATCCCAATAGACGGTTTCGTTACACCGGGTCTGTATACTTTTGCTCGTAGAAAAGGCGTTGTCTTGCTTGATTGCCCGAACCGCATCGGTGTATTGTAGCCGGACAATTCCATCCACAAAGCTTTGGATATCCTCGACCCTCATTGTCACAGCAGTCTGCTTTGATCGATTTCCATACCTTCCAAGCGGATCGTTCAACCGCACGCAGTTGATAAGTATATTCTCCATAATACTATCCGGCACTGAGTCCGAACCCGTTTCAACTCTGGAGGCGTCTGCAAGTTCTGATACCGATTCAAGCTGAAGAGAGGGAGGAGCTGCCGCCTGTTCCCCAATGGTCGAGGGACGTGGGACAGTCTTATCGCTTTCCCGAATTGCCGCAGCGTTACTGTTCTCTGGCACAACGTCCTTGGCCGTATCATCACCCTTAGCTCTGTCTTTGCGTCTTCTTTTCCTCTTCGTGGAGCGCCCATCTAGCCCCGTATAGTCCGCTCTGTCTCGTTTATCAGATGTCGACAGAAACCGGTATGAGCCACGTAATTCATTCGCCGCTGCGTCGGGATTCGGGCTGCCTCGGGGTGTAGGCAGAGGCGGTGGCGCTTTGATTCCTACCTGCAGCCTCATTTCACGAACTTAAATGTGTTAGTAAAAAGATTCTCCCAAAACTTCGAGTCAAGAGTTCACCAAAGTTCGAAATAGCAAGGATGTGCTGTCTGATAGGCTCATCGTTACAGTCACCGATCCCGCAACTTGCTAGCAGTTCATGGATTTTCCCCTCTGTTAAAGATTGAAAGACTTCACCCATTACTGCGTTGCGCAACAGAAGTCGGGAAGGAACAGTCGTGGGGTGCTGGGCTGACGCTATTTCTGGTGCATACATTGCGCTAAGCCAGAACGGGTAAGACGGAGCCTAGAACCTGCCTCCCAGAACAAGATCGAAACAAAGCGAAACCCCATAGTTCAAAACACAGAAGGAAGTAAATGGAATCAGCACGCTTACTCAAGCATAAATCAAGTTCCGTTTCCGTTTACGAAATATCGCTGAAAATCCGAGACAATGCTATTGTTCAGATATAGCGCGAGCAAGCCTAAGTAAGATATATCATCGAGCATATGATGTGTACTACGCTTCTTGAGATGAGCTGGTATTTGCAGACAGAAGCTGAGGAGGACCACGCAAGGCCAACAAGTGCACAGACACAGAGCTGCCAGAGAGACCGTTAGTAGGGTAATTGGCAGGAGCAGGCGAGGAAGTAATTCCCGGCATATGTTTATCTTATCTTCCCAAAGCTATAGGCTACAGTGCCAACGAAGACACAGTATTACCGGCGGCAACAACGCGGATTTTAAGTATCTCCATTCTGAGATGGTCATTGAGAAAGTTTAGTTAACCTGAAAGAATGAAAAGCGCGCATCGATGGCGCTGTAATAGCTTTGCGAAAGAGACTTTGCTGGGGCTTTCCGTTTCTCGGGATGCTGCTATACCTTTCATTGTGTACAATATCAACGGAGTTTACTAAGAATTGGCAAAAGTCAGAACTAGCTTTAAATCTTCAAGGCAATCCCAATCCTACGGTATTTTTATTTGTTTCGAAGTTGTCGGCGACGCGGCGCCCATTGCATTCTCTACACGTCCCCTGTTACAAAGGGTGGAGTCACATTCATGCTGCAGTATTACAGTGTCGGAGATTTCATTCTTGATTAACAGTTCGAGGAAGTGCAAAGGGAATGAAGAAATGTATTTCAACAAATGTATTTGGTCTTTTTGGCAAAAAGAATTCAGGCTTAACAAATTGGCCAACCAGACTAGCCCTCAACCATTGACAGGAGAACAAGAAAGAAAGAAAGAAAGATAAAAGTGCATGTCTTGATCAGATTGAAGCATTGTTTGCTCTTCAGAATTCAGCCGCTAACCCGCCCGCGGGTCAGTATCTTCTCCAATAACGATGTCAGTTAGGCCGTCTCTTCCATAGCACCGCCTTCTTCCATTTTTCGCTTATAGAGATCGTATTGCGCCAGCGCAAGAGTGCGCATTTCCATTTGTTTTTCCAGCCCAAGAGTATTAAAATCATCAACCATACCCAAGATGTCGCTCAAAAACTTCTTTCGGTTAAAGGTTTGCTGAAGAGAGCTTTCGGGTTTCTTCTCGTAGGCCACTGGGTTTTCATTCGAAAACTGAGGAGGATTAGTAGAACTTGTTGCATTGCCCTGGTTTTGGGTGCTTTTATTCCCACTGTTCTGGGCTTGGCTGTGCTCGCGTTCGTTGGTTTGGCTCCGAGTGCTCTGACTCTGGCTCTTCTCGTGTTCCATGCTTTGGCCTTGAGTTCTCTGGTCCTGGTAGCTTTCGCTTTTTGTGTTTTGACCTTGGTGGTCCCGCCCACGAAGCAAAACCTGTTCTGTCTCTAATGTTTCTGGAAATGGAGTAGGACTTTGTTCTAAGCCTAATCTTCTCTCTCCTGTCCACTTGTTGTCAAGTCGCTTTCCCGCCCAGTTCCTGTAGTTCTTCACTTGAACTAAAGCTACCGCGTAGATTCTCCGATCTGTTCTTAGACTTTCTTTTTTCGCTGAACTGCTGAGTCTCTTGTAGTTTGAGCGGCTAATCCAAAGAGGCGGCAGATTGACCCCCTGCTTCCAGTCAACAAGTACGGTAGTGAATGGGAACACATATTTTGGGTTTGTTTTCTTGACTTCAGGATTTAGCTCCTCCACCGACTCCAGTAAATCCAGCATCGTACTCCCTTCCCGCCTGGGTTGCCAGGCAACTTTCTTAATGTTGCGAATCATGCCCTTGTACAAAACTTTTCCGGTCTCATCTTCGAGCATAGTTTTGTTATGAGGATCACCTTTGAGGTACGTGCATCCTTGCACTTCATTAGAAGCCGCGCTCGAGCTCCAAATGGTCATCGCACTATTCAAGGGTCCATATGAATTAAGGTAATCAAATCCGCTCCGAGCGTTCTTCTTCAAAGTGACTGTGCCGTTCTCAAAGAGTTGCTCACTTGGGCCGTCGTCGTTGTCCAAAGTCAGGTCAACAAAGATATAATCTTTATAATCTTTGGGTCTTTCGTATTTCTGTTGGCTTGCACCCTGGATCTCAGTAGGTGGCTCGGTCTGGCCAACAAACAATTCGCTGGAATTCACCTCGGCATCAGGGAGTGGCTGGCTATCAGGTGGGGGCTGCTGACTTGCCAAGTCATCGTGGCTGTTATTGGTGTCATTGATGTCCCTGTGATTAGGGTCCGCGGTACCAGACAAGCTCGAACCATATGAAATTACGTCGGTTTCTGGTTGTTCTGCAAGTTCGGTTTGCTGATGGCGCTCTAAACTCCCATTGCTTTCATTTTCGTTATCTGGTCCATCCCTGCTGTTTTCATCTTCGGTGCCATCGACATCCATTGGCCCGCCTTGGTCAATTTTCTTGAGGTCTGTGTCAATGTCCATGATATCCGATTCGATGGCCGCTAAATCCCTTTTGATCTGGTTGTAGCTCGAGAGCAATTCTTTCAATAATACTTCAACCTGACCCTGTTTTTCCTCATCTTCTTCCTCATCCATGAGGGCTTTTATCGTATTGATCTTTTTCTGGATGTCCTTTAGCTGTTTTCTTTGCGAATCTCGATTTTGAGATTGAGCGGTCTTCTTCTGGTTCAATTGGTTCTTCCGCTCTATGGTCGCTTTTCTGCTAGTTGACTTGGAAACGCCATTTTCCTTTCGCTTTTCTTTTGCTTCTTTCTTGTTCGTGTCTCCTTTTGCCGCGTTTGGCGCCATATTTGGTCGTATAGGTTGATAATCCATTCATGTTCTTTTCTTTTTTAAATGCTGAAAGTAGTGGTGTGTTCATTGGATATGATTGGTCATAAAACATTCTCCACCACCTGTCACACGCAGTCACCAACACTCAGGCATCCCAGATGACTAATAGACGGAGCTTTCACGTGACTTACAGGATAACACACCGTGACAAATGAGAGCGCGGCTTGGCGCGAAATCTGGTGCAACGCAGCGTCAACTCAGCCTTCAAGTTACTGTAGCCTCGCGCAGACCAGCGGTTTGTACAGTAAAAAACACTAGTCCAGATTAGGATACCCGTCCGAACAAGTCGCGTTGACTAATGTACCTTTGCTGAGTCATCGTAAGCCTTAGTAACGGTAATGAAAAATGATGTAGGAGAGAGCCCATAGCCCGTCGTAAGAGAGATAATATGTCTCAGGGAAAGAAGCGCGGTGTCTGAGTGCTGGAAGTGACTCGTCAAAGGCAGTATTTTGTATGAATATTGTATAGCAATAGTAGGTTTCATTTACCCCGACCCTTCGCGCACATACTAGTTAGTTAGTTACTGCGAAGCAGGCCTGAGAGTCAATTAGTTTAGGTTCCGAGAAGGTCTATTAGATAGTAAGTCCGGTACAGTATTGTCGAATCCAATAGATGGTACATTAAGTATTGATTTATTTGAAGATCACGTGGAAAATTTGGTGGGGCAGAATAATGGCAGGAGATAGCGATGACTAAGAGGGAAAACAAACGCTGTGTTGCCTATTTTGGTCTAGTGGCACTCTCAGCAAGAGTAAGAGATACGCTAACCACATTTGACATCACAATTCTCCAGCTCGTACTAGTATGTCTGCCTTACATTTTTACCATAACCGGATTCCACAAATTTTATAACCGAAATCAAACCAGAAATTACATTCATATATTGGAACACGCTAGATTACGCTCTCAGGATATATCCGCAGTTAAAAATGTCGAGGGTAGCAAGCAGACAATCACATGGATAATACATTCGTCGTATACGATACTAGTGAACCACCGGAGAGGAGGATACAATAGTTCGATTTCTCCGGTCTGGCCCGGGGGCTCGGAATGGAGCGGAGGCCGTTCCAGCAGGTTGAAATAATTTATTGTCAGAGACCTGGGGGTGCGAAGGTATTATGAAATGCACGGACCCGCGCTTTCGGTGGGGAAGATTAGCCAATCATTTCAGCCCAGCTATATTTCAACCACGATGTACACAACTTTTGCACACCTATCTTTAGCACACATGGTTAATTGATGGCTCTGTCACATTTTCACCGCCCGCCGCTTTCCTCACGTTAACCGTTGAACCCTCGCATAAATGGTGAACGATGAATTTCGTTTCCCTACAATTCTATGATCTAATTGCGGTCAACGGTCAATTTCCGTTCCACTTTGAACCGGTAATGCATTTGTCCAAAATCCTACTCCTATATGGATTAAAGGGCCGAAGGGGACGGAATTTCTATAGTACGCAGAATAATGACCATTTGGATGTAGTCTCAACAAGTTTCTTTTCCTATTTTCAAATATTGAACATATTTTTCTGAATTGGGCACCTGGCTAAACACTCACATTCTTTGCGATTTCGTTTAATTTAAATTACAAAATAATTATTTTCTTTATTTATTTGCCCGACAACGAACCGAGCGACTTAATATAGATAGATATTATCATCTATTCTGCCAACGGCGTTTTCTGCGGTTGGTCGTAAATGTAAATGGTCCGTATATCGAATTTGTGAATTTACTGTAACGCAAGCCAAGGCGGTCTGAAGACTAAGAATTGCGGATTCATTGATCTGCCTCAGGATAAATCCGCTAACTTAA